GGCTTCTTCCCTCCCTTTGTACCGGGGAGTCGTTCGATCAGGGTAGCAGCGTTGGTACCGTGAGGGGGAGTTGCACTGGCTTCCTCTGTCAAGATATTTCCTATTTCCGCAGCTCTAGAAAATTCTCGAGGCTCCCTTTAGGATTTTAACAAGCCCTAAAAGCGTGTTCCAGTCACAGCGAGGTTGCAGAGTTAGGGTGTTTAGAAGAAGGAAGGCGGTGCCACAGCAAGGACAAAATTCTAGCTTTAACCTTTAGACTCTTCTGGCTTTAGAATCACAGAATCATCTAGGCTGGGAAAGACCCTTGGGATCATCGAGTCCAACCATCTACCCTACTCTACAAAGTTCTCCCCTACACCATATCCCCCAACACCACATCTAAACCACTCTTAAACGCATCCAAGGATGGTGACTCAACCACCTCCTTGGTGGACAAACTCTGGATTTGTCACAGAGGCGGTGTCTGCAGGTCAGGAAGGGTCTGAGGGACCAGACTGAAGATGTGTGGTTGACATCCACACGCTGCTTTCCCTTGTTTCCTGCTAACATGCTTTGTTGAGAGATGGTATTTTTTTAAAAGCACGTGGCACGGTATCAGGTTGGAGTTCCTATCTGCAGGGCTGCTCTGCCCCGCTGGGCCCCGCTTTGTGCTCTGAGGGGAAGGGACGGGCTCGCGGACCCCTGGCAGTTCAACGTTGGCGGCGCGGGGCGGGCGCGAGTCCCCGCTCCCGCTTCCTCGCTCCCCCCAACCGGGGCGAGCCGGAGCGCGGAGCGGGCGCCCCGAGGAATACGGGAAGGGAGGGTCGGGAGGCGCTTCTTTTCGGCGCTCGGGCCTTTTTTTTCCCCGGGGCCGGGGTGGTCTGTCCGCCTGGAGCGGGGGATCGGGGCCGGGGCCCCGCCCCCCCAGCACGTGTCCGGGGGCTGAGGAATTAAAGATGGTGGCTTCGGCGGGGCGCGCGCGTGGGCCGGCGGCGGGCGCGGGGCGGCCCCACCGGTTTAGCGGGGCTTCTCCATCTTGGCGGGAGCGGCCTCTCGGTCCAAGGATGGTGACTCAACCACCTCCTTGGTGGACAAACTCTGGATTTGTCACAGAGGCGGTGTCTGCAGGTCAGGAAGGGTCTGAGGGACCAGACTGAAGATGTGTGGTTGACATCCACACGCTGCTTTCCCTTGTTTCCTGCTAACATGCTTTGTTGAGAGATGGTATTTTTTTAAAAGCACGTGGCACGGTATCAGGTTGGAGTTCCTATCTGCAGGGCTGCCCCAGAAAGCTGCCCCTGCGTCTCTGATCCCCCCGGTGTGGTAAAAGGCAGCGAGCACCTGCCTGCTCCATGCACTGCCTGCCTTTTGATGATGGAGAAGTGGCAGGTGATTTTTAGAGGAGAGGAGGAGGAGAAGATGATCCTGGTGAAAGAACTGAGGTTGTGAAAACCGCAAAAAAAGATTAAATCGTGAATTGATAAGGCGAAAGACTGTAGAGGTCATGAAGTCCTGCCTTCATGGATTTTATTTTTTTAGTAATTGCCAGAGCGCAGAATACACCCGTTGAAGTCAAGGGTCTAACTCTGAACTAATCTATACCAGTTTTGTTCTGGTATCATCACACTGATTGCAGGAGAGGGTTGGGTTTTTATATTTATTAGCTTTGTATTAGAATAGCGTCCAGGGGTTTTTACCTGATACTGCTGAACATGCTTGCGCTATTTCTAGTCTTAAGTATTTAAGTTTAGAAATAGAAATACTTGCAAATGCAATATGAACAGAAGAGTCTGGTTTTTTCCATCTGAAAGGGAAATGTGGACTATGGAAAACAGGGTTGCCATATTGAGTATATGAAAAAAGTGAAACTTGAGTCTCTTGAAAATGAAATAAATGCAAAAGAATAATATCCCTATATCTAAGCATGATATAGTTTAGGCTGGTTATCAGATTCCCGTTACTTTCAGATGTCTCTGTTCACTTATGATATAGTTTAGGCTGGTTATCAGATTCCAGTTACTTTCAGATGTCTCTGTTCACTTCTGTGAGAGCAGTTGCTTGAACTTTTGCCTGCCATGGGGCAGAAATCAATAGATTATTTCTGTAGTGCTAGTAACTGCTGTAGCATTGAGGAGGTGCAGGGTAAGGGGATAGTGTGCAGTGTGAGGTTAGGCATCCCTTTGCACACTGAGCGTGCTCACCCTAGGAAACTGAGAAGGTAGTATTGTTTGTTTGGTTTTGTCTTTTACGCATCCAGTGAGGCATTTTCAGCTTGTTAAAGAGTCCCATGGAAGCTGTTCACATTGTCTTGGCTCTGGGTGGAGGCTGCTGGAATTTCAATTATATAGTCAGTTGTAAAGATGGTGGGAGGCAAAGCGGGAGACTGGCAGCAGTTAGTTACAAGAAGTTGAAATTTGGGAAGGAGGCTCCCAAAGGTCTGCTTCCTTCAATGAAAAATACGATTGATATAGAAGCATGGCCATTTTTATAGCTTTTCTTTAAAGGACGGATGCCAATCCATACTTCTGTATAACTGCCCTTAAAGAAACATTTTGTATTGTATGAACAGTATGTTTGCCAGGTCTCTATAGATGCAAGCAAATCCTCCATTTGTTCCCTTTTGCCTAGCTAAAGTCATGCTGAACTTTGCCTCAGAGCTGGGTGGTTTCAATCAGTATTGGAGAAAACAGAATTCCTGAAGTTCAAATTTGAGTTATGGCCAAGGCTTCGTATCCTTGTCCTATGAGGCGGGTCAGGTTTATTCCCTTTTTTTAATACACATTTCAGATGAACACCAGTGAGATTGGCTGATCTTGCTTTTCATGTAGTCTAGATGTAGCTGGTACTGGTCTTGCTAGCTAGGCTGGGGAGCCTCTTGAAAATCAAATCCTTGCAGTTGTATGTGAAATTAGGGTGCTGGCAATCTATGCCAGAGTTGTAGAGAGACAAAATTAATACAGTATAATAATTCCTAAGTTTTACTGTGTTGGCTGCTAGAACTAACCTGCATTGGAGAAACATTCTGTTAACCTTTGTTAAACTCGATTAATCTCAGATTACATGTTAGAATAGACTTTGCAAGGAAAGAACCAGCTCCTTTTATTTAAATGCTTTGCCTAGAACACTGAACTCAGGAGTAATGATAGAGTGGTGGTGAGGAAAGTACTTGAATAAAGCAAAAAACCCCTGCCTAATGCTTCACCTGATAAAGTTTCAAGAACATTTAAAGTCTCGTTGAGGAAAGGTAAATGACATTGCTAACTATAGATGCAGAGATCTGCAAGCTGGTGCCAACTGTTGCCAATTAAGTTCTCGTATCACAGCAAAGCCAACTTGAGGTTCCTGCAACACTGCTAATCTGCAGACAGAATAGTCAATCCATTTCCAGACAACTGAAATAAACCTGCAAATCCTTTATCTACTGAAGATGATAATGCATGCATCTAAGTAAATGGAATTAATGTCCAATAGGCAGACTTCGTTTTCATCATCTTAATGTTGCTTACTGTTTTTTGCAGGTTGTCAAGAGAGAAGGCAGCGGGACAGAGTCTCCAATGATAGGTGATAAAGTGACTGTCCATTACACAGGATGGCTTCTTGATGGCACAAAATTTGACTCCAGTCTGGACAGGAGAGACAAATTTTCATTTGACTTGGGGAAAGGTAATATCTTGTGTTTGGTATTGATCAGTTTTGATAATAGAGATGGGATTTCCTGGCATGCGTTGCTCCTTTGCATGTTAAAGTTGCTATTTAAACTTATTTTCAGAGCTTAAGGTTTATTCTCTTAGAATGGGCCTATCAGAATGGCTTTGAGATTTTTTTGAAGAGAAAACTGTTTAGCCCCTTGATGAATCCAGCTGAAGGACCTCAGACAAAGCACTCCAGGGGAGAAAATTTGCCCTGAAGCATAGTAATAAAGGGTAGTTAAATATAGTATTCATTTTGTTGATGTTTTTCTTTGGCAGAAGACTCAAATTTAGGAATACTTAATTATGACCAGATACTGGTACAGGGTGCCCCGGGGGCAGCTGTCAGCTGCAGCGTGGTGAAACGTACTCACTCCCTTTTTCACTAAGTTCCCACATTAACTCAAATATGAATCTCGAAGCAGTGTATTTCTTCATTATCAAAAGCCTTCATTTTTTTAAATGCAAATATCCAAACATCCTTGTTCCAGCAAATCTGAATTTGATCTGAGGTTTTTTTGTTGTTTTTTTTTTTTTTCCCTGGCAGTTCCTTACCCGCTGCTTTTTTTTCTTTGGGGGAGAAACTCTGCAGTGAACTGAAACTTGAGATGATATGAAGTGTATCTATTAACACAAGACTAATAGGCTGCTTGATTGAGTTGAAAGCACCAGCAAGTAGGAGAGCATAAGTAAGAGATAGGATTTTGTTACTTGAGGTTCCAGCTTCTGTTTGCTTTTGGATTTAGAAGGAATACTACTTCTCCTGCTTTCCTCCCTCTTTCTGTTTCAAGTGCATGTAGCTTTTAGTTACCACTCACGCTGCTGCACTTTGCCAACTGATAAAGAGAGAAAAGGCTGTTGTGTTGGATTGTTTTCAAAATACAAGCAGGCAATCTCTCACCCGAAGACCTTCCTCTTCAAAGAGTTTATTGTTATTTCCTCGCACTTGAGATTGTGCCAAGCCCTGAAGCCCGTGTCTGTGTTTAGATGACTTGTATCCTGTATAGGCGGGGAAGTAAGAGGAGGAAAAGAATCACTGCACCTAGAAGGAAGAAATTTAGCCAAATTCCACAGGTAACTTTGTAATTTGATTAGGGTTAAAACTGAGGTACATGAATCAGAGTGAGTACAAGTTGTTCAGTATTTTCTGCTCTGTCTTAGTTTTTGTGTACTAAAAGTGATGATGCTCAGTTTCACAGCTGATTGTGTCTTTCATGTGTGCCTAAAAACCATGTGGTTTAAATTTGACTTGCAGGAGAAGTCATCAAAGCATGGGACATTGCTGTAGCGACTATGAAAGTTGGTGAAATCTGTCGGATTACATGCAAACCAGAATATGCCTATGGCTCAGCTGGAAGCCCTCCAAAGATACCTCCCAATGCTACACTGATTTTTGAGGTGAGAGATGGTCACTAAAACTGTATGCTTGAAAAACAAACAAAAATCATATTTCACTGTAGAAAATGTGTGATGTAATATCCTTCCAAAACCATAATGTTAGGTTTTCTAAAGAGAAAAATATGGTCAATTAGTGTAGTGTGGGCAAAGCATAGAGTTCTAGCCTGACTGCTACTGATCTGCAGAGGCTCAGGTTCCTTTGTTTTGGAGTCCTTAAAATATTTAAGTGTTCTCCAGTGTTGATTGTTTTAATTTTACAGTTGTGGAATGATTCACTGCAGGAAGAGGGCAAGTTATGGAGGTGGGGTAGGGGAGGAAGGACTGTCTTAGTGGTAGACTGAAGTAGTTGAAGTAGCAGAAGTTTAATCCTCTTTCCCCTTCATGGTAGTCAAAGTAATGATACTTATATTAAACATTATGAAGTTTTCAACAACTGAGTGACTAATATCCTCAGTAATATATTTTTTCATACTTTTTAAATGGTTTTTTTTCAACATTAACACAATTTTTTTTGAGATATTTGAGGGAGAAAAGAGATAATTACCTTATATAAACTGCTAGAATATAAAATGTATTTGAACAGCCCTGGAACCATGACCTGTTTTCTGTAGGACTGAGCGTTTTAATAAGCCTTAAATCACCTAAGAACAGTTTGGATTCAGGTTGCTTGTTGATTACCAAAGTCTGTGGATCCAGGCTACATTGGTCAATCTTACCGTCATAGAAAGTTGTACCCGCTTCGTCCCTGGGACAGATTTGGCACTCTTGAGATTGGTATCTGGGTAATGCTAGTTTTCCAATTCATATGGACAGTTGGTCTCCTTAGAGGTGAACTGCATGTCTTGGTAAGCATGGAGCCAATTAGCTTGTGTATTTCTTAACCTCCTCAGCAAAGGACAGAATTTGATACCTAGTGATCTTTAAGGTATCCCCCTCACAACTCATCCACCCCTACCAAAAGGGGATGGAAATAGGAGCTGTCTCTTGTGTATTATTTCAGCAGTGAGAGTGGTTGCTCAGAATGCTGTCTGTGTTTGATTTTTCCACAGAGCATGATACTAAAGCTGTTCCTGGAGCATGCTTTGACAAACAGTCTAAACAGTGTTTTGGGAGGATATATTTTTATTGTTGCTGAAACAGTTCCATTTTCCAAGAAATGCTTTAAAATTAATTGCATCTAGGAGAAAGCAGATAATCTCTATTTAAAAGTAATTTTTAAAATTACTTTGTTCTGAAATATTTATTCAATAGAATGGACTCCTCCATTGGGGCGGCATAAGGGAAGTTTTTAAGTTCTGATGATTGCTCTAAGATTGTTCTAAAACATTAGATAATATCTTATCTAATACTGGAGAAAGGTAAAAACGGTTTGTGGAGTAGGGTCTGGTTTTAATGGAAACAATGAGCATCTGGTAAGAAGGATAAATGAAATAGTTGGGTCTTTTATTTGTATTACGCTGGATAGTGTATTTGCATTGCTTTTTTCCATGAACTTGTGAGTAATAGTATTAAATATGTGTTTTGTGCAGAAGGATTAAAAAAATACTGCTAGCAGGTGGTATCCTAAGCCACTAAGGGATGAGAACTTACTCATTTTGAGTACATGAGAATTAATGCCATTATTTCTGCAGTTGACTAATCTTGTAAAGCTGTTCTTAAACAGCATTTTTAAATATATCATTTTGAGGATGGTCAGGGCTGACTTATTGGATCAAACTGCACAAGCTGGAATGCTGTGTGCTTTGCACAAATACAGGTGGTAACAAGGCAGGATTGAAGGCGAGATAAAAATACTAACACATATTTATGGTGTTCTGACTTGATGATTCAAAGGCAAACTCTACTTTTTTTTTCTCTACCTTTCTACCTTTTTCTGCTCACTTCATTTTGGTTGAGGGAAAGGAAAGTGTAGCAATCTGATACAAGCATTTGGATGCTTCACTTCCCACTAGGTTTTTCTTTATGGTGCCAATCTAACCTCTCCATCTTGTAGGTACTGCTCAGATAAAAGTAGTGTTTCACTCATGACCATTTATATCCCCTAATGCCTGCCTGAGCAGTAATGTTAGAGGAGAAAAAGGAGAAAGAAAGAAAAGAGTGAAGCTGCCTATGATGTTTTTGTGCTTCCCGAATAAACTGGCGTGCAGATGACTGGCTACAACAAATAAGCATTGCCAGGTGTGCCCTGAAATGAGGGGGTGGAGTGAAACTTAGATCAGAAAGTTTTTTCCAAAGTTTCATTAGGTAGGAGTGATTTCTGACTATATGACTCTCAGCTGCTTGAAATCTCTTTACGTTTCCTCTTTCTTTAGTCTTGCTATTCTGTAAAACAATGTCAGCATGGTTTCTTTGCAAGTGCCACCACCATACCAAAATTTTGTACTAGTTGCCTTAAAAAGGACCCTCTAAAACTTTTAGAAGATTTTTGTAGCTGTGTCACCACCATATCAGCATTTCGTTATGACCTGGAATAATGCATGTCTTATGATTTGATTTTGGGTTTTTTTTTTTCTTCCTCATGATTGCTTTTGCTGAGCAATATAAAAAGATTGATTCTCCCAAAGAATACTGTTGTTCAGGTAAAAACAAAAGAAAAAAAAAAGGGGGGAGGGGGCACACGATACCTGTGTAGTCATCAGAGGGATGTTCTAGAGTGACTTAGCTTGTTTCAGGCAGACTGAAGAGAAAGACCAGAATATTGGTACTAGGTAGCCATCAAAATAGAAAGTGGAGGTATTCTTTGTGCTGGTGAATATTCAGTTCCTCTTGCATTCTGGGTAAGTCCAGTGCCATGAACCTGCATAGCATTACCCCTGAACTTTATTTTCTTTTAAAAGGTACGTAGTGTAAACAACACTGATTATAATGACTTATTCTTTTGTGTTGTTTTTGCTATTGTTTTACTCAGAAGAGAGAATTTTTCTTAATTTCACAGCAGCAACAACGAATTTCTTTTAGGACTAGACTATTTTTCTGTCTCACCAAGGTAGTCCCACTTCATACTATAATTTGCAATAGAGACTTGGGAGGGCATGTGAAGATTCAGGCTGGATAGTTATCTCCTATAATAACACCAGCTCTTAAATTCTAAACAATTTGTTCCAGCAACAAGTATAGATTAAAGGGGGGCCAGATCATGGTTTTATTGTTTTGTCATTCTTCTGGAAATATTTTTTTTTTCTGCAATGGTACCATGATACACAATGATAAGGTAAGACTAGAAGGGAAAATATAAAAAGTAAAAAGAGAATGTTAACTCTGGTCAGGCATGCAAGGGAGAATCACTCAGAAGTTTAGACAGTATTGTATTGTGGCACAAGAGTAAAGGATGAAGAAGCAGGTGGGGAATAAGTGGTCTGCAAAGATACTATATTCTTGAATTTGTTTTAATATTGCAGGACAAGCATTTGGAATCATTTGGGTTATAATCCAAGCACTTAAAAGCTGATCTGGATTTTACCATAGATGGGATTAAGGGTATAATCAAGACTTAAGAATTGCATTTTTATATTTCGTTTTCCTTCTTGCATTACTTACAAGCCTCCTCAGTTCTTGGATGCAGTGACATCACTGGTGATTCTACTTGACTGTAGAGTGAGAGGGTGTGACAGCTACCAGTCAGTGTGGTAGCACTCCAAAGTGGCAGCTGACAGCAAATTCTTACTATCTTAGTGTATTCAAAAGGTATTTTTCCCTCATATTAATGTTATGGTTTCAGAAAACCCATAGCAATCTATTGTCATTTAGACAATTATTCTATCACCCGATGACACCTCCCCACCCAGAAAGGGGAATTGGGCAACACAAGGAAAACACAAGGGTTGAAATAGAAATAGATATAATAGACTAAGACTAAATAATTAACAATAATACTAAAGAACCAGTGTTAATCCTGACACTGATATACAATAATACTAAAGAACCAGTGTTAATCCCAGTACTGACATAAGATGACACAAGAATTATGCTCAGCCAATTCTCTCAGCAGGAAGCCGTGCACTCCCAGCAGGGACAGCAAATGGCGGACACTGCCAGCGCAATGGCTTCAGGAGGAAGGCAAGGCCTCAGGGCTCCGGCACCGGGGCAAGGAGGTGTCTGGACCCGCCGCCATCAAGGGAGAGAGAGCTACACCGCAAACATATCTAATTTATATTGAATGTGACGTTCATGGTATAAAATAATCCTGTTGGCCAGCCTGGGTCAAATGCCCAGGCCTTGCTCCTCCTTGTAACTGCGCTTAACAAGGCTGGAAAACACTAAGACCTTGAATCCCACAGATCCTGGCCGTCTATAAAGTAAATATTTTCACAAATTCAGACACTAGAGTCTTCTAAAAGTGCAATTTTCCTCAGCATTAGAATGAAAGTTAGTCCTGTGTCTCTCAACCCAGGACAACAAACAAAACCTCAAACCCAGAAACTACTATCCATTCTTCTGCCTGCAGACATTAGCAAAAATACTGTTAAAGAAGCCAATAGAATTTTTTTCTTTTTTGCAGTAGTCCCTAAGCTTTGTTCAGAAGCCAGGTTCACAGTCCTTTCAATTAAAGGATCTAATTTGTAGTATTGGGAGACCAAGATTGCTGGAGAAAAAAAAAAGAAAAAACCCCAAACCAACCAATCAACCAAAAAAAAAAAAAACCCAAGAAAAAAAGAAATCACTGTGAGTAGATACACCTCAGTCTCCCCCAGTAGCTGGCTAGGTAAGCTTTAAATAATGCTATAAAATGATTATCTGCAATTTCTGCAACCCTTCTTAAACACATCCATCACTGCATTGGAACAGTACAAAACAAGAAAAGACTCTGACACTCTATAAAAAGTCTATTACTGAGAATAGCACTATGATCCAGGACTTCCACAACCAAGTAGCAACAAGGGTAAGGCCCATACACAGGCTTCTAAAGCAAGATATGCACCCACAGTCATGGCCATGCTCACCCTACACACAGCAACACATACCAGCAGTAATACCTTGCTTCCTCTCTGAAAAGAATTAAAATTTAATTCTTCTTTATAAGAAGTAGCTAGCTGTTTCATCTGCTTTGTAACTAACCCAGCAATAATCACAGAATCACAGAATATTCATGGTTGGAAGGGAACTTTGAGATCATCTGGAAAAAAAAAAAAAAAAAAACCCCAAACCAACCAAACAACCAAAAAAAAAAAAAACCCAAGAAAAAAATCCATAAAGGCCTGAATATAATTTGAAACTCTTCAGTAAGTTTCCATCCGGTATATATTGAATATGGCACCTTCATAGCCTTAGCTATGTAATATCTTACAGGACATTAACTAGGATAGTGGCTTCCTGAACAGCTATAAATTCAGATATTTCTGGAGAACAGATTCTGTGAGTTACTGAATTGATGTAACTGGCTGAAATTGAAATCTGGCTGAAAGACAGAGCTCAGAGGGTTGTGGTTAGGGACACAGAGTCCAGTTGGAGGTCTGTAACAAGTGGTGTTCCCCAGGGGTCAGTACTGGGTCCGGTCCTCTTCCAATATATTCATCAGTGACCTGGACGAAGGGATGGAATGTACCCTCAGCAAGTTTGCTGATGATACAAAACTGGGAGGGGTGGCTGACACCCCAGAAGGCTGTGCCACCATAGAGTGAGACCTGGACAGGCTGGGGACTTGGGCGGAGAGGAACCTGATGAACTTCAACAAGGGCAAGTGTAGGGTGCTGCATGTGGGGGGGAGTAACCCCCTGCACCAGGACAGGTTGGGGGCTGACCTGCTGGAGAGCAGCTCTGAGGTAGACACCAGGATGTGTGACCAGCAGGTTGAAGGAGGTCATCCTGCCCCTCTGCTCTGCCCTGGGGAGGCCCCATCTGGAGCACTGGGTCCAGTTCTGGGCTCCCCAGTTCCAGAAGGACAGGGAACTGCTGGAGAGGGTACAGCAGAGGGCTACAAAGACGATGAGGGGCCTGGAGTCTCTCTCCTATGAGGAGAGGCGGAGGGACTTGTGTCGTCTTAGTCTTGAGAAGAGAAGACTTAGTGGGGATCTAATCAATGCTTACAAATACTTAAAGGGAGGGTGTCAGGAGGACGGGGCTGGTCTTTTTTCAGTGGTGCCCAGTGACTGGAGAAGAGGAAATGGGCACAAACTTGAGTATAAGAAGTTCCATCTAAACATGAGAAGGAACTTCTTTACTTTGAGAGTGGTAGAGCATTGAAACAAGCTGCCCAGAGAGGTGGTGGAGTCTCCTTCTCTGGAGACATTCAGAACCCACCTGGACACATTCCTGTGCAACCTGCTGTAGGTGGACCCGCTTTAGCAGGGGGGTTGGACTAGTTGATCTCCAGAGGTCCCTTCCAGCCCTATATGATTCTGTGATGTTATGAGAATAAATGCAAGGCTTTTCTTCCTTCCACAGATAGAACTTTTTGAGTTCAAGGGCGAGGACCTCACTGATGAAGAAGATGGAGGCATCATCCGAAGAATCCGTAAAAAAGGGGAGGGCTACTCCAAGCCCAACGAAGGAGCAATTGTAGAGAGTAAGTATGTTACACAGATAGTAAATGGGTTTACCATGTGGGAGGGAAGAACCTTTTTCCCAGCCTACAACTCCTTGCCCTGAGAGAGAGGAATACGTGTCTTCTCTTTCCTTTACCAGGTAACTTAACAACATCGAATAAGCTTTCATTCTCTATTTCTAGTAAGGCTTATGTTTTCCAGCAGGAGCTGTGTTCTCCAGAGATACTGAATCTGATAAAGTGGTTATCTGATCAAATGAGTTAAATAAGTCTAGTAAATTACTTCCATTTGCTGAGGAACAAGAGAAGTAGTTCTGGTACTTGTTGGAGTGAAAAAAAAAACTACAGATAGGTGAATAAAGAAAAAAAGGTGTTAATAAACACCTTGAGTTTAGCAGCAGAAGTTCTATTTGCTGTTAAAAGAGAAAAGACTGTTTAGGAGGACACTTTGATACTCCTTTTATTACCTGTGCTACCTGCACCTTGCCATATGTGGATATTTTCTGATTTTTCTCTTGGTTCTGTGTTTTTGTTACCAGTCCAGTTTGAAGGCCAATATGGAGGTCGTGTTTTTGACAGGCGAGAATTGCAGTTTGAGATTGGAGAAGGTGACAATTATGATCTTCCTCATGGTCTGGAGAAGGCAATTCAAAAAATGGAGAAATCGGAGGAATCTGTGTTCTATCTCAAACCTAAGTATGCTGTTTCTGATTATTTGATTCCTAATTGCTTATACTAGGCATCTGGCAAGAATGACGTGTTTTGTTATAGTGTCTTTCAGCTTTTTTTCAGTGCTGTAGCAAAATCTTGATCAGTCCCTGTGTGAGCCGATGCAGGCAGGACGCAGGAACAACCACAAAACCATGGAATAAGGGCAAAGAACAAAATTCACCTAATACTTCATGGATCGGGGAACCTCTGAAGCAGCACCCAGGCAGAGGCAGGCCAGCAGGGGATGCAGGCACCGCGGAGTGAGAGTCCTTAATAGCATGAGAGTCCTCGTTAGCAAGGACTGAGGGAGCGAGGGAGCTCCCACTTGCTGTTTGGGGCTGTATTTCAAGGATTCTGGCAGGCAGAGTTTGCTGCTGGGCTTTGATCTCTTCAACAACAGGGCAAGCATCTCAGGCGTGTTTGATAAGGTGCCCCTGAGTCCATCCCAGGCCTATGTTATCTGAGTGCAGATGTTCTACTTGTTGAGCACACAAAACTAAGCAAGATTTAGTGTGATAGATGTGTTTTCCGGCACCCCACATGCGAGTCACTTGAGCGTATTTACAGTCCTCCTTCCCAATCTTCTGGTACTTTCCCACAGTCCCAAAAGTTTGATGCATGAAAAGTATGAAGCTAAGATCACTTTGCCACTAGGTTGCGTAGTAATAGCACAAGAAATTTAATTAAGTGTCTCTATAATGTTGATCTTGGTGAATATTAAAAAAGCTATTGTTGTCTTTAACTTAATTTTTTTTGTCCCTCTTACCAAAGCAGTACTTACTGTGCAGGAGTGCATATAAAGTTACCTAAAAAACAGCCTCAGAGTAGGAAAAGAGCTGATGAGCCTTCTGAGCAGCCCAGTGTGACCAAATAGCTAGTCCTTAGGTGATGTAGTTAGTAAAGAGTATCAGAAACACTTTGTCAGTAGAAAACGTTCACTGGTATTCTGAAAGCCTTTTGGAAGAAGACCTTCAAGATTCCTGTGAGACAGAAGACAAGAGTTACATCCTTGGCCGACTGTGAGAACTCTTTGAGACTAAGAACATCTAACGGAGATGTATGATTGCCCAATATTGTAACATTAAACAGCCTTACATATAAGCAGAATTTTCTCTTTATAGTGAGAACACATCTGAAGCAAGTGGAGTTTGTGCTGATTTTTCCATCAAACTCTAACTCGTTTTGGTATTTAAGTGTTTTAAACTGGAAGTGAACCTGATGGTAGAAGAAAAGCAAAGCAATCTGATTTTGAGGGTTTTCCTACTAATCTGCAGCTTCTTACTGGAGTTGCAGTGCAGCCTTTCTGTAGGCATTTACTGTTAATTGGCTGATTGGCAGTATGTGAAGTGTACAGCTGTTCACTTAATCTCTGTATTGATCGTTGTCTTTGCTTTTCTGATAGTAATACTGAGATACAGGTGCCATGAAGGAGACATCCGGTCTCAGACCATTAATATAAAGCAAGATGTGTATAACTCAAAAGTATTTTTTTCCCTTGATGGAGAGATAACTAGCTTTTCCTAAAAAAAAAAAAAAGGAACTGGTAACCTAGAGATTAATGAAATTAACCCTAAACCCAGGTTTCTTCCAGCCTTTATGTCTTGTAATAATGCTGGATGGGCAACCCATTTGCATAGGGTTTTTGCCTCCAGCTTCCAATGTAGTAAATACGTCTGGCTTGAAAGTTTTTGAACTCTGTTTCTTTCTTTCCACCTCCCTTCCTCCCACCCTCTTACAGTTACGGTTTTGGAAGTGCTGGGAAGGAGAAATTTCAGATCCCTCCAGATGCAGAGCTGCAGTATGAAGTGAAACTCAAAAGCTTTGAAAAGGTAGGAACGAGATATGAAATCCCAAAGAGATTGGGAGGTGGGGGAAGAAGTGTGAGTGCAGCTTAAACAGGATGATGGAATCCTTGAAGATTGATCTGAAATAGGGAAGCCACTCTGGTCAAAGATGGTAACACACTGGGAGCTCTTGGCTGAAATTGTTCTTGTTCTTGATGTATCCCCGTTTGTTGCCACCAGTGTCTCTCCTGTTCTAGCCCAGTTTCCAGCAGCAGTGCAAACTCTGCTTTACCAAACCCATCTCTACCGTACTGTTAGTGGGAAGAGAGTAGCCATTTGGGGTTTCTCCAAAGCTGTGTCATTGACTTGAACTTTTTCTGTTTGGGTAGGCTAAGGAGTCTTGGGAAATGAACACAGATGAGAAGCTGGAACAAAGCTGCATCGTGAAGGAGAGAGGCACTCAGTACTTCAAGGTAAACTACAGTCCTCAAGTAATCGTAGCGTTTCTTAGTCTGTGTCATGAGCTGATAACGATGATTGCAGCTTCTGTCATTTCAAAGTGGTGGTCATGATATTCTCTGTGATGTTTTAAGGGAGGACTGGAGGGGAAGGTGTCTTAAAAAAAAAAAAAAAGCCTCAGAGTTGGAATATCCAAAGAACTAACTCTGCAGGGAGTAGTTCTCTCTGACAGAGCTCTTTGCTGTACCAACTCTGCCATAAATTGAATAGTAGCAAGCTTACAGTATTTAAGTTCCAACTGTGGGATAGTGCTGCGAATGAACAACATTTGTTTGGGTATAGATGTGTGGAGAAGCTGTTTCAAACAATTTGACCAGCTAAAGGCAGACTTTCTCATTATCCTCATGACACGAGAATAATTGTGCTGTTTTGAAAACGCCCCATGTTTCTTCTGTATCAAAAGTTCAATGTAAGGTGGGAGTTGAAAGTGAAGTATCAATGCTGGCCTATATATAGGCCAAGCTATATCCCTAGCTTTAGTGGGAGAACTGGTGGGTATTCCTAAAGATTTTCTGATTCTGTGCAGGAATGGCTTTGAGAAATAGTATATTTTTGATGATAGAAGTTATTTTCTGATTACTCTGAGTTATTTTTTTCAGATCTTTCACTCAAGGTAAGCAGGAGGAGCAAGAGGGAGATAAAAGTTACTGTGGTGAGCTGTGTGATAATTGAATTGTCTTGTTTACAGGAGGGGAAATACAAACGGGCAGCATTACAGTATAAGAAGATTGTGTCATGGCTGGAGCATGAATCAGGACTCTCTGATGAGGAGGATGTAAAAGCCAAAAGCTTGAGGCTTGCTGCCCACCTTAATCTAGCTATGTGTCATCTCAAGCTGAAGGAATACTCCCAGGCTTTGGAGAACTGCAACAAGGTAGTAAGGGTTTGTTTATTTTTAATCTGCACAAGCAATCTGACAATTTTATCTCTTGCTTTAACAACTTGAGGAATACCAGGCCATGTGGTGTTTGGTCTTTCTTACCAGCTGGAAGAACAGGTTATTTTCATAATTACTGTCCTTTGAGTATCTCTTACTGACTAGCTGCTACATTGAGAATATTCAAGTATTTAGAAATTAGAAACACTGAGATGTGGTGAAAGGTAGTCACACTGGCAAAGTCCCTCAAAGAGCTGGAATAGAGTCGGAACTAAATTTTAGACTTGCTGGTTCTCTGTCAAATAGCTTAATTTATTCAGTCCTCTTCGTACTTTTGTATTCAACTCACCTTAATTAGTAAGCCCTGATAGGACTCATAAATCTACATCAGAAGGTACAGTTTCTGACAGTCTTTGGTTTTCTGACTGTATATTATATTTAAAAAACAAAAAATATTCTTGAATGTGGTTTTGTTTTGGTTTTTTAATGCAGGCTCTTGAATTGGATAGCAACAATGAAAAAGGCCTCTTCAGGCGTGGAGAAGCACACTTGGCTGTCAATGACTTTGAGTTGGCCAGGGGAGATTTCCAGAAAGTCATACAAATTTATCCAAGTAACAAAGCTGCCAAAGTGCAACTGGTAACTTGTCAGCAAAAAATACGGGAGCAGCATGAGAAAGAGAAAAAGATGTATGCCAACATGTTCCAAAGGCTTGCAGACAAAGACTTAAAGGTAAGTAACGCTACTCCAGGAGACAACAAGAGGTGGTATCACATGTTAGACAAGGAATAGTGTTTCAGGCATTCAGCTTACTTTTTAGTACAGATAAATATAGTCAGAGAACACTCAAGTAGCTTTCTCTGGGGTAAAAGACTGGAAATAGCTATTAGTCAAAATTTTTAGGCCATCTTGTTTGAACAAGACAGCTAGCCAGTACCAAGCGTGGCACAGAATGCTTTTACTTATTTCAAGTGACTTTGCCACAGAGCAGTGTTAATCAGAGAGCAATTGAAGTGATGAGATGCAAACACGGTAACGTTCAATAACTGGATAAGGTGCCTATTCTCCTTGAACTGATCTTCTAAATGACAGTCTGATCTGGTGCCGGGGTGGCCCATCTACCCAGACCTTGTGTCTGTCATACAGATGGTGCTGAGGACCATTTTCCTGCTCATAGAGACATCAAGATGTGGTTTCCATCTCAAATGTCGTAGATGGATTATGAAGTGTCAGAATTGAGACTGTCAGAAGATTCTACTGTATGGATGGTTTTCCTACTAAGCTTGCATTAGAATTTTAGTAAATACTAGTTCAGTTAACAGTATCAATATTTGAATAGAAGTTATAAGGAGGTTGTACCAGCTAGCAAGAAAAATTCAAAGTTACTGGTCAGAATTGCACATACTAAGAAAATTTCCTTTTGTTTTCCTTAAATCTGATGGTCTGAAAGGACTAGGTAAACCTGTAATTTCCAAGACAAATCTGGGATTTACATCAGATTCAATTTTTCTCAGTAACATTGGGGAGTGCAGAAGCTTGCATCTTGTGAGGTTACTTTCACAGATCTTTGTGTCCACCCTCCTAAAATACGCGTGGAGAATCTAAAAAATTGTTGGACGTTGGTACGTCACTTTCTGTGGTTAACTGTGTCAGTGAGTCCAGGGGCCCACTGTCCTAAGATACGTGTATCCTGACAATTCAGCCATCTCAGACTTGGAGTTGACAATTCCCTATATGAAATGCTTCACAAATCTTTTTTTCTTCTTATTTCTCCCCCTCCCCCAGTCTTCCAAAATGAGATCTGAAATCAGTTAATGTCCCAGCAACAATGGGAGATGTTTTCCATTCTTCATCTCTTACTCTGCTAGAGTAGTCATATCTTGTATTTTTTCCCTCTTAAGATTAGCAGTAATTCTATGGATTTGGTTCTGTTTCTCATGGAGGAGTGTAAACAAACACATAAACACAGACATTACCCACTGATTCTGCAAGGAAAGTGTCATTGTCTGTGTATTTACATATCTGGCTAAAGCAGCCTGATTTGAACAGTTCACCCACAAGCTTATTGGAGCTTGGAAGAAAGAATTCTGTCCTTTTAGACATTGTCACGTGTACCCATGCAATACCTTAATTTTTGGTAGGCTTTAATAGAAAATCTCACGAAAATAAAGATACAGAAAGTAAACTAGAATTATTTCACTGTTGGGGATCTTCACTTTTGAAATGGCAGGTTTCAATTGCCAGCTGTGCCTTTTGGCTAGCACGGCTGCTGGGAATCTGGCTTCCTCCACTTGGTGTGGGACACAGCAAGATCTGTTGTTCAGAGAGGAAGAGTGGATTGCTGAAACAAGCTGTACTCACTACAAGTAGCAAAGTGCTGTCTTTGTGCTTTTCAAAATGTAAACTTCAGCCCCTAAGGCAGACAGTTGGTAGTTGTATTCTTGGCAGAAGGCAGACTCACAGTCTTTGCATGGCAGGCAGTTTGGGATTACTGCAAAGACATGGCACTGAATTCCAGTTTCCCAACTGATTCGGATAGAATCAGTTTATAGAGTCATAGAATCGTTTAGGTTGGAAAAGATCAAGTCCAACTGTTAAGCTAACACTACCAAGTCTACCTCTAAACTATGTCCCTAAGTGCCAAATCTACGTGTCTTTTAAATACCTCCTGGGATGGTGACCCAACCACTTCCCTGGGCAGCCTGTTCCAGTGCTTGATAACCCTTTTGGAGAAGATATATTTCCTGATACCCAATCTAAACTTCCCCTTGTGCAACTTGAGGCTGTTTCCTCTTGTCCTGTCACTTGTTAAAAGGGGAGACCAACATTGAGCTTGCTACCACCTCCTTTCAGGTAGCTGTAGAGAGTGATAAGGTCACTCTTTTGTGCGACCTTTTTCTTTTTCTTCAAGCTGTAGAGAGTGATAAGGTCACCCCTCAGCATCTTTTTCTTCAAACTGGACCCATTCCCTCAGCAGCTTCTCACAGGACTTGTTCTCTGAACCCTTCATTAGCTTCATTGCTTTTCCCTGGATGTGCTCCAGCACCTCAATATCTTTCTTGCAGTGACAGGCCCAAAACTGAATGCAATATTTGAGGTGTGGCCTCACCAGTGCCAAATCCAAAGGGAAGATGGTTTCTCTAGTCCTGGCTGTGCTATTTCTTATACAGGCCAGGTTGCTATTGGCCTGATCCTTTCTTCTGAATAGTTAAGATGATCTTGGGAATGTGCATATGTTTACATTGTTTTTTCTGAGAGTCATCCAGGCTGCTTCAAATGGATGAGATTTTATATAAAACCCAAAAATGGATCACTGGAACTGTAAACAAAAGATACTTAACTGCCCAGGTCAGTCCTGGGGATTTTTCTTGCAGGAAACCATGTTTTCCTGTTAATTCATTTATGTTGCTTTACCCTAGCTCCAACGGTTTCTCTATTAGTGGTGGTAGGAGAAGCTCAAGAGTTCTGGAGAAGAGTTTGTCTACCAAATGTTTTCTGATTTGCTAAGAAGGCAGCTTGGACTTTGAAATTCGTAACATCTGCATATCTTATTGTCTGTTGAAGTAGACAGCCACTCTCGCATCAGCAATTCTTTTCATTAATTCGAATCGTTCCCATATGTAAAGTAGGAATTTTTAAAGGTCAGGATGTTTATCACCTTATCTTAAGCCCTGGATTGCTAGCTAACAGGTTTTCTGTGGAGAGGAGACTTTGTTCTCGTGTGCTTCACAGAAGGCTGCTAAGGATGAAAGGTTGACCTTTGATGCCTAGATGTTTTTTGCCTGTGATTTCTTGTTGCAGCTAAGCTGATGTAACGTTTTAGTTCAAGGATTCTGTCCCCTTTTCCCCTCCTATTCCCTTCTCCCAACGGTGCATGCTTATATCCTTGCTTGTTCTTGTCTGGTTCTCCTCTAACCTATAAAGGGTGCTCGGCTGATGTGTGGAATAGCAATTTCATTGCACTGTCTTTTAAGATGAGCAGGACAAGACACTTTTACTTCCCTTTACTGTGCTTGAATATTACTGCAAAGTCAGGATGTGCTGGTTATGTCCTATTGGAAAAACTGACTTCTGGCCCTTAGCACATGGTTCTCTGCTTTCCATGCCTTTTTATGTGGACTGGAAGATACAGCAAGGAGAGAACTTCCAGAGAAACCACGTTGTCAGATCAAATTTTCTTCCAGCTAAGCTCTTAACAGAGGACATCCAGGAGACTGTTGTCGCGTTGAAGCCATTCTTTATGAAACTAGCTATCCAACAAAGATACTTCTTCCTAGCTTGAGTCCAGGTGTGCCTCATACAAGTTCAGGGGGTGGGAGCAAGGCGTGGAAATTCCTGAAATTGAATCACATTGAAATTGAAGCAGGACGAAAGCAATTCAGTGCAGAAGCTTCCTAAATGAATTTCAGTTTGGGGGAAAACACTTCCTTAGAGTATGCGGCAAGCATATGCATGCCACATTACGAATCATAACCACCTAACACCAGTATTACTTCTCAGCTTCCTCTAAACTGCTTCTAGTTTCTTAGATGCAGAAAAAAAATGCAAAGAAAGCTTGGTTCTCTTGGCTAAAGGTCCTAATAGATCTTAATTCAGTCTTGCAGGAAGGCCAGGTGTGCTAGTGATAAGAATCAAATAGCGTATGTGGTATTGTTAGTAAATGCTAGCAATTTTGTATAAAAAAAGAAATATATTTTCTTTGTCTCCCTATTTAGTCAGCTGCTGCTCTTCAAACCAGCCACGCTGAAGATGAAGAAATGAAAGATGAGCGGAATGGAGTTGAAGATAAATCGGAAGTTGACACAGAAGCATAAAACCAAACCCTATTCCATTAGTTTTGTAAATGAAAGAATTTCCAGTGAATTAGACCTTTATTTTTCTACCTGGTTGGACAGTGGCTTCAGGGGAGCAGAGGCTGATGCCACCATGCCACAGTCAGTTACAGCTTTGTATGTCTGTTGAAGAAGCTGAGTGGCAGCATAAATCTAGTTTAATCCTAGGGAGTTTATTTATTCATTCAGCTTCTGTTACTGTTTGGGTTCTGTCTGGATTTACTCTGCTTGGCTTATTTGCACTTTTGCCATTGGTGTATGTCTCTTTCTGGTTCCAGCTCACTTTAATTCCAGGTTCTGCTTCCGAAATTTTAATTTCCTTGATTTCTTTTGACTAATCGGCCTTTTCCATGGGTCCTCACGTGACACTTGAGAACAAATTGGCGCTCCCAGTTCTTCTGCCTTGGCATTGCCCCCTTCCCTCCTGTTCAGTAGGGAGTCCTTTCCATTAAGTGTTGTAACCTTTCTTGTATGCCTCCTCTTTACAAATTGCTGAAGACTGTGAAGTCACAGCTAAAGTAATAAAGCTCCAATTAAACTCGAGAAAACAGAACTTTTTGTGGGTTTTTATTGGAATTTGCACAGAATGAAGAGAATTTACCATCCTTTGGTCAATCAGTGTTTTCTCATCCACATAGCTATACAGTAGCCACAGTATCTGATTATTTTTTTGTGTTGTTCATTCATTGCCATAGAAAATTCTCACAATAATCCATATATTATTTACTCATGTATTTGGAAAAGGAAAAAATATGTTGCTGAATATTGTACAACAAGCAAGTCTGTAAGCAATGCATAGGGCTTACTTTCTGTTCATATTGCTACCTTCATCTTTACCACGTGGAGGGTGAAACTGGACCAGAAGAAAACCCATCTATTCTAAAGTAATAAAGCTCCAATTAAACTCGAGAAAACAGAACTTTTTGTGGGTTTTTATTGGAATTTGCACAGAATGAAGAGAATTTACCATCCTTTGGTCAATCAGTGTTTTCTCATCCACATAGCTATACAGTAGCTACAGTATCTGATTATTTTTCTGTGTTGTTCATTCATTGCCATAGCAAATTCTCACAATAATCCATATATTATTTACTCATGTATTTGGAAAAGGAAAAAATATGTTGCTGAATATTGTACAACAAGCAAGTCTGTAAGCAATGCATAGGGCTTACTTTCTGTTCATATTGCTACCTTCATCTTTACCACGTGGAGGGTGAAACTGGACCAGAAGAAAACCCATCTATTTATACCTGAAAGTGACTGGCTTGGAAGAGATGTGGTAAGGGTTTAATACATTACAAATACTTCTTATTCCTGATGAACTACAATGTTCTGAGTGATTCCAATGTGTGCTTATCCCCTCACAAGAAAGCTATTACTTGATATACTGCTTCTTCCTGCTCTATGTTTTGTGCAATGTTGGGGGTGGGTGTGCTTTTGGGTTTTGTGTAGTGATATCCTAAGCTTCAGTGGGGTGGGGGAGGGCAAGAAGCACAATAAAGTGGTGGGTAGGTCATGGCGTTTAAGGAAATGCTGATTTTTATTTGCTTAGCAAGGTCTTAGCATTGCCAGGTAATGCAGGGGAGCTTTATTAGTTGTGACTCTGGGCAGCATCAGCCCTGCGTGCACGACAACTGTTCCACCAGGCAGGAGAGCTAGACTGCCTCCCAGGGAGCGCCGCAGACAGCTTGGGACAAGGTGAGAAGGAGTTCTGTCAGCTGAAGGTACAAGAGGGGATTTCCTGACACAGGAGAATGGTAAGGGGAGCAGGAATGTCAAGCCAAGAGGTCTTTTTCTCCAGCAAGGAGGTATCCTGATCTGTTGGGAATCATTACTGCGCCTGAAGTAGTAAGATCTTTCTCTCTCTGAAGTGAAAGATCTGGAGGTCCTGGTAGACAGCAAAATGACAGTGAGCAAACTGTGCTCTTGTGGCCAGGAGGGCCAATGGGATCCTGGGCTGCGTAGGGAAGAGTGTGGCCAGTAGGTCGAGGGAGGTCATTCTCCCCCTCTGCTCTGCACTGGGGAGGCCACAACTGGAATCCTGCATCCAGTTCTGGGCTCCCCAGTTCAAGAGAGACAGGGAACTACTGGAGAGAGTCCAGCAAAGGGCAACAAAGATGATTCAAGGATTGGAGCATCTCCCTTATGAGGAGAGACTGAGAGAGCTGGGACTCTTTAGGCTGGAGAAGAGAAGGCTGAGGGGAGACCTTATCAACGCCTACAAGTATCTCGAGGGAGGGTTGAAAGGGGTGGGAGCCAGACTCTTTTCAGTGGTTCCCAGTGAGAGGACGAGGGGCAATGGGCACAAGCTGGAACATGGGAAGTTCCACTCAAACAGGAGAAAAAACTTCTTTACAGTGAGGGTACCAGAGCCCTGGAACAGGCTGCCCAGGGAGGGTGTGGAGTCCCCTTCTCTGGAGATCTTCAAGACCCGCCTGGATGCAGCCCTGAGTAGCCTCTGACAAGCTCTAGGCAATCCTGCTTCAGCAGGGGAGTTGGACTAGGTGATCTCTATGGCCCCTTCCAACTCTAAAGATTCAGTGAAATTGTTGCTATGAAAGTAAGCGTAGGAGGCAATCCTGCTTCAGCAGGGGAGTTGGACTAGGTGATCTCTATGGCCCCTTCCAACTCTAAAGATTCAGTGAAATTGTTGCATGCCAGGTCCAAATTGTAACTTTCTAATTCTTGAAAGTATCATTTTGCCTTGGTTGTTACTTATTACACGTCTATGTCTCCGTTGATAAATCCATCCTGTGCGGTGGTCTCATCATATGGTGTATTTGAAGTCAGAGAAGTGCCCCATGTCACCGTCACCTGCTGCAAGTGAAATAACCCTTCTTTGCCCAACCCTCACCCGGAGCAGGAGGGAGCTGCTCGGGGCCCTGTGCCGTGGGCAATTAAAGCCCTTGTTAGCGGGAGGCGGTGTTGCCGGTAGGACGAGCCGGACCGTGTCAAACGGCAGCCGGGCTCCCGGCCGCGGGGCTGCGGCGGTGGGGCCCTCCTTGTGCCCGCCGTTCCCCTTTGGCTCCGGGGCTGCGGTGCCGACCCCCCAGGCCGGGTGACGGGGAGGGCGGTGGGGCCCTGGCTCGGGCGGCAGAACGGCGGCTGGCCTGGCCGCCCCTCAGCGCAACGGCAAACGCGGAGCCTGAGGTAGGGCCGGGCCGGCCCTTCCCCTCACCCTGGCCTTCGAGGGGCCGGGCTCCGGGGCGCTCCCGCGGCTGGAAACCGGTCCCGGGGAAAGGCCGCGCTCGCTGAGGGGGCGATTCCCGGAGCGCGGGGCCCGCCCCGTCCCCGCCCCTCCCTGACGTGATCCCGCTGCGCGCCTCAGCCTGCGGCCCAGCCACCGCCACGGCCCCGCGCCTCAGCCCGGCGGCCGGAGCTCCTCCGCGCTTCTGCGGGCGACGGCAGCGGGATGCGGTCCGTCAGCTACGTGCAGTGCGTGGCGCTCGACTTCGGCGGCAGCCTCTTCCCGCACGCCATCTGCCTGGGGGACGCCGACAATGACGGGGTTCGGAGGCGGAAGAAGGGGGGGGTGTCGGCGGCGCCGGGGCTGGCCCTGAGGCGGGGCTCGGGCGGGCACCGGGCAGCAGGCCGCGGGAGGCGGCCCGGCCGCAGGCGCCTTGTGCTGGACCCGGCTGGGGCGGCCCGTTGCGAGGGGGGAACCGGGCGCAGGCGGGGGTCGGGCTGGGGGGGCGCCCCGAGGCTGCCCGCAGCCGCCGCCAGGCCGCTGGGGTGATGAGCACCGTCAGGGTGAGGGGCGGCAGGGGCGGGTTTTAGGGGAGGAAGCTAAAGCGGAGCGGGGAGAAGCGCTGAGAGGATGGGGTGGCACCAGAGCAGGTGCCTGGAGAAGGTGGTTTCTTCTTCCTTTCAGTGGTTCCCAGCGACAGGACGAGGGGCAAAGGGCACAAGCTGGAATATGGGAAGTTCCACTCCAATCTGAGGAAGAACTTCTTTGGGGTGAGGGTGGCAGAGCCCTGGAAGAGGCTGACAAGGGAGGGTGTGGAGTCCCCTTCTCTGGAGATCTTCAAGCCCTGCCTGGATGGTGTCCTGAGTGATGTGCTCTGGGCAACCCTGCTTTGGCAGGGGAGTTGGACTAGGTGATCTCTAGAAGGCCCCTTCCAACTTCAACAATTCCATGATTCCATGGTGGGGCTCCCACCCTTGCAGGGGTCTTGGAGCTTGATGGACACTTGAGCAGTGCCAGAGACAAAGAGTTTGGATTAACGTGGCCCCCAGAGGTCCCTTGCAAACTGAATGTTTTAGTGGTTCTGGGCTGCAGCTGGTGAATGCTTCCATCACCATTAGACATGCTAGGCACCCCTGGCACGCGCCCTGGAGGATACACAGCTAGTAGAAAGGTTAACTTTTGGTTTCAAAGACAGGCACTGTCCTGTGACAGTGGTGGGGATGTAGAGGTGTGAGGAAATGCTTGGTTGGATCACAAACAAGGTAGAGCCAAGTTTAAATGTCTTTTGGTCTCTATGATGGACAGATGTGCGTCGAGAATGTTGCTGTCTGCCCCACAAATAGTTGTTTCTGATGGGTCTGATTTCCCTGTAACTAGGAAGAGGTTAGCTTAACGAGGTATATGTAAACTGTTCCTTCTTCTCCTCAGCAGTCAAATTGTATTACAGCCCTGTCCTGCTATCCTGAAAAATGTCATGGCTAGCAGTGCAGTGGAAAACAAATCAAATTTTCCCATAAGAAGTTGTGTTATGTAGGGTAACGTGTGCAGGGAGCTATGGAATGCTCACAATTTAAATACACAGAGGCATGATGCAGAAGATGGAATAGTAGGAGTAGGCTCATCAGGCAGGGTGGTTGGTGATTTTTGGCAGCCTTCTTTAAAGATATAATCACCATTCTGAAAGACCTTTATCGGTGAGACTGAACACCCTGTGTAAATATGTTATAAGTGTTCTTGCAGCCTCTTTCTGGATGATCACATTTTTCTTATTGCCACCATCTTTCTCGGGTGATTGAAGAAGTCAAGTCAATCTAGATTGAAGGCTGGAGGATGGGGTGGTGATGACGGTTATAAGCAAAGCAGGATGTTAAAACAGTCGGTGACAAAACTCGGAAACAATGGCTAGAGAAGCAGTGTATAATGGAATGTTGCACTAAAGAGCCCTTCTCCAGCTCTTTTATCTGTGAGAGTAAAATTAGGGGTTTTATTTTTTCCCGGACCTTCTCTATTGATTTGAGGCTGTCTCTTTAACTCTTGTCTTGCTTTGCTCTTTCTTCCCACAGAGTGATCTCTTTAGATACGAATTCTGTAATTATTGCTGCGTGGGGATACTGTTACTGTAACTGTGAATTTCTTCCTAGTAACCCCGTTCTCTTCTACAGCTGAACGAGCTGGTGGTGGGAGACACCAATGGGAAACTCTGTGTTTACAAGAATGACGACAGCAAACCCTGGGCTGTGCGATCTTGCCAAGGAATGGTGAGTTCTTGACAAAATTATTCAACGGTTAGGCCTTTAGGTGTATGTGCAGCCATCTGGCCTTGACCACTTCCTAGGAACGTGTGGGCCAGCAGGGAATGGCAGCCAGAAGTGGTTATGATGCCTTTTTATGTAGTTACCGTGTAGTTACCGAAAGCAGGACCGTGCTTTTGCCCACGGCTAGCCCCATGGGCAAGAAGTGAGGAGCAAAGTACTGAATAAACACAGGAAATGGGTCTTTGTTACACCTTCACCCTGCTCCTGTGCAGTGGGGATTTTTCCCCAGGGCTCTGGGCAGTTGTGTGACAGATGTGTTTCTGACTCTGCTGTCTTTGAAGAGGCTGTTCAGGCTTCAAGAGAGGGTTTATGAGAGGGGAGGGGGTAGGGCAGAGGCTTAGCCCAAAGTGCTGTTTTGAGTTGCCTTCTCTCATGTATGGCCTTCTTTTCTCTTGCAGCTCACGTGTGTTGGCGTGGGAGATGTATGCAATAAAGGAAAGGTGAGAGCAGCCAAACTCTTCCCAGCTGTGTCTGTAAGGCATGTGGGAGGTGCTTAGGAGATTAGGGTCATATCATATGCTGAGTGTGGAGAAGGAGAGGTAGCAGGTGCTTTCTGTCCACGATCTGCCCTCGCTCACAGAGTTTTAGGCTACTGTTTTAACACCATTCTTCTGTTTACATATAACTGTGAGCCATGTGCAGGTTTTTGTGAGCCAGGAAACCCATCCTATCTTCAGAAAGCACCACTGATTTGCATGTCCCCCTCTGTGAGTGCCACAAGGCTTTGGTGGTTTGAGGGTTGCTCCTTTTCCTCAGTGGCTTTTGCCCTGCCTTGTGCTATTACCTGCTGTGGGCCATGGCCCTTATGCCACTTGGCTGTGTAGCATTTAAGATCATCTAAACAAGACTGAGCCACGGAATAGTTTAGACTCCCAAGCAAATTCTGCTGGGTTTAATATGACTCTTTTTGCTGGATTGCTATTTCTGGGGGTTAAACTGGTCCAAAAGTTCCAGTAGTACCTGAGTAGTTCATATGCTGGCTAAAAAACCTTCTCCTTTTCCCTCTGTAGGGATCTTGATGGATCTACCCTCATATCTTCCCTCATCCTGCTGTGGGGCAGCTTCTGCAGTTTCTAAAATGGGAAAAATCAAATATTTTTTCTCTTCCTTCTTAGAATCTTGTGGTGGCAGTGAGTGCAGAAGGCTGGTTTCATCTTTTTGACCTGACTTCTCCACCTTCAAAACACCCAGATGCTTCAGGCCACCACGAGTTGGCAGCAGCAGAAGAGCAGAAGCCGGTGTTCAAGCAGCACATTCCTGCCAACACCAAAGTCATGCTGATCAGTGACATTGGTGAGCCAGGAAGCTGGTGTGGGAGTGCAGGGTGAGGGAGTTTATGGGTGTGAGGTGGAGGCGGTGGAGAGAGAGAGAAAGTGCATGGGACTCACAGAAGAAAATTACTGTCTTGTTGAAACAGGTGCTCTAATAAGCAAACCACAGCCAAGTCATGGAGCAGAGAAGTGACAACTTCAGGAACTTTCCTGATGTGCAAGTTCTCATTACAGGGTTGGGATCCTCAGGGATGCTACCTGATGGAAACCAGGGGGTGGCTTTTCTGAATGCTGGGAGTACTGGGGCTGTGAAAGGCTGAGAGAGCCTGTCTGTCTCCTTCTATTCCCTGCAGATGGAGATGGGAAATGTGAGTTGGTGGTGGGTTACACTGACAGGGTGGTACGTGCCTTCCGCTGGGAGGACTTGGAGAATTCAGACCATGTCTCTGGACAGCTGCTCCTGCTGAAGAAATGGCTGCTAGAAGGTCAGGTAAGGAAACAATTTGCTCGGAGCAGAAGTTGCCATACAGTCTTCAAAAGGTGGCTCTCCCAAGGGAAGAAGCACAAAATCTCAGTCCTATTAACAAAGGAATTGCCATGTTGATGTCCTGAAAGGAGATTTGCTAGTGGTCGTTCTGCAGAAACAGTCAGTTGCTCTCACTCAACCAGAGAGCATTAGTGGAAAATACGAGTGTGTTCTTAAGTGGCTTTTAGTAGGGAAACACGACATTTTGCTTCTATCTGAATTTGTTCAGTTCCTGCCTTGCAAGAGGATCTAGATAGATTGGATCACTGGGCCAATGCCAATAGAATGAGTTTCAACAAGGGCAAGTGCCAGGTCCTGCACTTGGGCCACAACAACCCCCTGCAGCACTACAGGCTGGGGGAAGTGTGGCTGGAGCTGCCTGGAGGAAAGAGACCTGGGGGTTCTAGTTGACAAACGGCTGAATATGAGCCGGCCGTGTGCCCAGGGGGGCAAGAAAGCCAATGGCATTCTGGCTTGTATCAAAAATAGTGTGAGCAGCAGAAGTAGGGAGGTGATTGTGCCCCTGTACTCAGCACTGGTGAGGCCACACCTCGAGTGTTGTGTCCAGTTTTGGGCACCTCAATACAAGAGAGATCTCGAGGTGCTGGAGCGAGTGCAGAGGAGGGCAACGAAGCTGGTGAGGGGGCTGGAAAACAAATCGTATGAGGAGCGGCTGAGGCGGGTCATTATGAGGAAGAGGAGGCTGAGGGGAGACCTCATCACTCTCTACAACTACTTGAAAGGACACTGTAGAGAGGTTGGGGCTGGTCTCTTCTCACAGGGAATTAGTGACAGAACGAGAGGGAACGGCTTCAAGCTCCAACTGGGTGGGATTAGATTGAACATTAGGAAAGAATTTTTCACCGAAAGAGTGGTCGGGCATTGGAATAGGCTGCCCAGGGAGGGGGGGGAGTCACCATCCCTGGCTGTGTTTAAGGGCCGTTTAGATGCAGTGCTGAGGGACATGGTGTAGGGGAGGACTTTGTAGAGTAGGGGAGAAGGTTGGTCTCGATGATCCCAAGGGTCTCTTCCAACCTGAATGATTCTATGCTTCTAAGATCTGCTGTAGTCTAGGTACAAGGAGCACAGTGAACCCTACTGAGGTGTTTAAAGTCCTCAGTTTGACTCTGTCTGTGTTTTCCCTCGGCCGGTATAGGTGGACAGCCTCTCTGTGAACCCAGGCCCTGATGGCTCCCCGGAGTTGATGGTGTCTCAGCCAGGCTGTGGGTATGCCATTCTGCTGTGCACCTGGGACTCTGAGCAGCAGGCCACGACAGAGGGAAGGGACAACTCTGCCCCAAGCAGGTGAAGAGCATTATTGCATTAAAGAAATCAGGAGATTCTGCTGTAGATGCCCTCACAAGGGGGCACCACCACACCACCTTTTGGGAGAGAGGGGAGGTGTTTTCCTTTGTCTTTGCTTCAGTGACCTCCTGTGCTGCTGGGAGTTCATGACTTAAGCCCACCTGCATCCAAGCTTTTGTGATCACTCTTCATGCCTCTATCGCAAAGATGGATGCTCCTTTCATTGTGTTCCACTCTGTTCTCCTTGGGTTGGGCAAGGAGAGTGGCAAAACCAGCTCAATTTTGGGGGGGAGGGAGGGAAATGAGCAACCTGGATTTACAGAAAAAGAGTGTAGGCAGTCTGGTGACCTGTCTAACGGTGGGGAGGGTAGCACCTGAAAGGTTGGGCCAAGTCCAGTTAGTCTGAAGCCCAGGATGATACTTTTTGGGTTCATTTCACTCCTTTCTTCCAGGTGAGATTATTGAAGGTTTTCCTAAAGAGACCCCTGGCAGCTGGTGCTGTAAATCACAACCAGGGCAATCAGGATGAGCAGTGAGGTTATTGTCCTTGGTGCCAGAGGGGACCCTTGTGGGGAATTCGGGTGCTTCTGTGGTGTTCTGCAGACACAGAAAACTGCAGCAGGAGGGGAGCTAGGCAAGACATCTCCTTGATGTCTTGGAGACCTTAGTGGAATGGTACCCTGCTAGCCAGAAGGCAGACCCTGTCGTGATCTCTGACCAACCTGTTCAACCTGAGGCAGGCACTTGCTGAGTGAAAAGCAGCCAGGCTTATGTGACAGTAAAAGAAAAAAAGACAATTTTAATCATTATTAGAATGCATTTTTTAGCAGGCACTTGCTGAGTGAAAAGCAGCCAGGATTATGTGACAGTAAAAGAAAAAAAAGACAATTTTAATTATTATTAGAATGCATTTTTTACAGATTTTTTCTTTTTTTTTTTTTTTTTCATTTAAGCTCTTTCCAGTTTTCTGGTGCATCAAATTGTTCTGGTCTGCGTTTGTTTGTTATTTGTTTGTTTGTTTGTTTTTAAACATTGGTCAGTTCCTTTCATATCTGGGGCGGCATGCAAATCTTTGCCTTGGTCTTCACCATTAAAGAGCAAACCTACGCACAAACTCGATCAGTCTCTGGATTTGTAGAGCTTTGGAGTACAATGCTCTTGAGATTGTTCTGGCACAGTCTCTGGCGTGGTTCTCTAACCTTTCCCTGATGCCCCATATGCCGGCCAGATCCTTCCCACAGGGAAGTGTGCTGCCTCCCAGGGGCCCGGGTCAGAGATGTCACTAAAAGGCTGTCTAGTCTGGTAAAGCCCTCTGATTACTATCCATTACTAGTTATGCAGGTGGGAAATGATGAAGTTGAAACCAGAAGTTTAAAAGAAATCAAAAGGGACTTCAAGGCACTGGGAAAACTAGTTGAGGGATCAGGGGCACAGACAATTTTTTCATCAATACCCTTGGTTGCAGGTTGTAATACTGAAAGGAATAGGAAGTCATTCATGATTAACAAGTGGCTTAGGGAATGGTGCCACCAACAAAATTTTGGGTTTTTCGACCTTGGCAAACTTCATACGGCACAAGGTCTGCTAGTAACAGATGGGGAACATCTGTCTCAGAAGGGCAGGAAGATCCTGGCACATAAGTTGGCACGGCTTGTCAAAAGGGCTTTAAACTAGGCTTGAAGGGGGAGGGGGTTAAATACAGGAGCACTAGAGACGAGCTTAAGGACACCCTCCAGCCTGCCATTGCACTTGAAGCAAGAAATGTCTCTACACTAATGCACACAGCATGGGCAACAAGCAGGAGGAACTGGAAGCTATCCTGCTACAGGAAAGCTATGACATAGTAGCAATTACGGAAACTTGGTGGGATGACTCCTATGACTGGAGTGTGGCCATCGATGGGTACAAGCTGTTCAGAAGGGACAGGAGTGGAAGAAGGGGTGGAGGTGTTGCCCTCTATGTAAAGAAGTGGCTAGAATGTGAAGAGTTGTTGCTAAAGAGTAGCCATGACCAGGTCGAAAGTTTATGGGTAGGAATTAGGGATTGGGACAACAAAGGGAGCCTTGTGGTAGGAATCTACTACAGGCCGCCTGACCAGGCGGAGCCTGTCAATGATGCCTTCTTACTCCAGCTTGAGGAGGCATCATGATCACAGGCTCTCATCCTGCTGGGGGACTTTAACCACCCTGACATCTGCTGGAAAAGCAACACAGCTGGCTGCAGACAATCCAGGAGTGTCTATGTCTGTCTCTCTTTTCCCTAGTGAGGTCCCTATTCGAGATGTTATTCTACACCAAACGTCTGGACGGATTCACAACAAGAATGTTTCTACTCATCTAATTGGTAGCATTGGCCGAGGTAAGAGATTAGGAGCTGGAGGTTCTCTGGCCCAACAGATGCTCTTGATAGTTTCTCAATATATCAGTCCAGCATGAAATCAGATTTCCCATGGTTGAAAAATAGCAGTGGGAGGCAGCTGCAAGAACAGAGGGGACTGGGCTTCTGTTAGCCAGCTCCCAAAGAAAAGAGCTGGAAATTTGCATTTGAACTTTTCATAGCCTTCGTCCTTCCCTAGGTAGCTCTTGCTGTTCACCTAGGACAACAGTTTCTCTGCAGCCTCTCCTGGCCTGTGTTTAGTCAACCTGAATGGCTGTCGTGCTTTGCTCTGTGTTGTTGATCTTTACTTTTGTGTGGCTGCAGCTTCTGCTCTCTTCTTGTTCCCTAGGTGCATATCTTCCTTTCCACAGCCTCACCTTTATGCTTTTGTGCTTTTCAGCATTTGGTTCCCAGTACCTGGCAGCTATATCCTTCCCCTTCCTTCACCTATGCAGTCCCAACCCCTCCAGAGCTGCTTCCATATTTCATTTCTATCATGTGTTTAGTCAACCTGAATGGCTGTCGTGCCTTGCTCCGTGTCGTTGAGCTTTACTTTTGCGTGGCTGCAGCTTCTGCTCTCTTCTTGTTCCCTAGGTGCATATCTTCCTTTCCACAGCCTCACCTTTATGCTTTTGTGCTTTTCAGCATTTGGTTCCCAGTACCTGGCAGCTATATCCTTCCCCTTCCTTCACCTATGCAGTCCCAACCCCTCCAGAGCTGCTTCCATATTTCATTTCTATCACTGTCCTCTGTCATCTTCTAATGTATTCTGTCACTGTCCTCTGTCATCTTCTAATGTATTCTAATGTATATCGAGTCAACTGTTGTATCTAAACTCTCCATGGCTACTGATTCCTCTTAGCCCTGACACGCTGCTGGTGTGTCCAGCCTTTTCTCACACACTGCTGCTGCTTCACTTGTCTCACTGCTTTGTGCTCTGACCTGTCCCTGGTGCACCTGCTGATCCATGTTTTGGTACCTATGGAAAATAAGCAGCTTTTACTCCTTCTTGGGACATGTGGGCATAATACAAGAAGGCAGAAAATTCTCAATGGCAGATCACTTTCTCTTGTCTGTAGCTGGCTGGAATCCAGCTGTGTTTGCTCTGTGCAAGTATTACCCCCTGCAGTGCTGTCTGAGAACAACTTAGGCTGTCCAATGTAATTAGAGCTGGTGGAGAAGAGCAATCCACTAAAATCCCTCCTCTTCCCCTTCTCCAGAGTTCCCTCTCCTCCCCAGTTCCTAAGCTTGTCGTGTCTTCAGCATCTTGGATGCTGGTATGACCAATATGGTCAACAGAGCATGAAATCAATTATTTCACTGCATACAAAACCTTGCATTTGATGAAAGGTGTCTGTGAAAGATGAAGGCACACAGAACAAAGGATGAAGAGAAGGTTGTGAAAAGCCCACTGATGCTGGACCATCAGTAATGGAACAGCTGAATAGTGCCATGCTGACCAGTTTATAAGGAGGACGCAGCAAATCTTTTGGCTCAGAGCCTGTCTGGATGACTATTTGCTTTAGGCTGGTCTGTGGAAGTAGTGTGGTCTGTGTCCTGGGAGTGCTCAGGGTGTTGTAGCTTGGAGCTGTCTCTGGACAGTGGAGGTGGGCTTGCAGTATTAGGTTCATTCTGGTGATGCAGTCCACTAAAATCGGAACTGCCATGTGCATATGTGGTACAGGCAGGCTCCAAGGAACAGCCAGCAGGGCCAGATATGCCTGCACATCAGTGCAAACCAAAGGTCTTGGGTTTTGAGAGGCCAGTGCTCTTCAATTAAAAGCCAGCATGAAGTATGATTGGTTGTAAGACTCTGCAGATATCTGATAAGCAGAGTGTCAAGGCTGGGCAAAAAAAGGAGGCAGGATGGATCAGCTTGGTTTAGATATTTTATTTTATTTTTTTTTCAGGAGAGGGAGGGGACAATACTTGTAAAATGGCATCAACTCCTGTAATTCTTTTCTGCACTTACAGGCTGCGCCAGTGAGGGCAGTGGCTCAGGTCTCTTTGCCCTCTGTACTCTGGATGGTAAGTCCTACCACAGTCCTGGAAGAAAGGCCTTTGGGGAGACCAAGGCCTGTCACTGATTCCAAACAGGGAACCAGGGGCTTGGTGCTTTTGGGTTTGAAAGAACAGGGAGCTGGGCTTCAGAAGTGCTTCCTGAGTCAGGCAAGAGATTTGACTCAGACTCCTGCTGACATAAGAAGGCATGAAAGCTAAGACAGGAGCCAAGGTAAGAGTGGTCCCTGTGAGCAAGTTCTCCATAAACCAGGTGTGTGATAATGTGCCTGTCTCTGAAGATATGATGAAACACATTAAAGCTGAGCTTGTCTTTCTCTTCCTTACTGAATTGGGTCTAATATTGCCCAGGCTTGGTCTCTCCAGGAAACCTGTTGTGTTTTCTATCACTAATAGGTGCCCTTCTCTCTCCTTTAGTACAGTCTATTCACCTATGGATTTCAAAGCATTTTACAAATGTAAATTACTAACATTGTCCCATGGCCTATAGGTGTAGAAATATTAAAGCTGTGCTGCAGCGAGCCGCTGGGAAAACAAAGAGGCTGGGTCATTGGTCCAAAGACACGCTGAAAACTTGAGATGGAGAAAGAGACTAGAGCTTTCATCTGCTGACTTCTAAGTTGCCTGCTTACTCAATAGTCAAACAATTGTTTGAGATGGCAGTTCAACAAGTGCCATTCATGTCGACAGGAGCTTGTAAACCACAGCAGAAATGTGTCCTTGTACTTGAAGGGGTTTGGGTTGTTTTCAAGAGCAGTAAAGGAAATGTATGCTGAAACTTGAATATTGGTAGAGAGGAGCTGGTCTTACACAGGCCTGGAGCCAGGTTCTTTTGCTGTGCCCCTGACTGATAGGACAGGTTGTAATGGGACTGAATCCAATGAGCTGAATGCTGGGTTTCTGTCCAAAACCCAATAGTGTGGAGACAAGATGCTGTGCATCTCTTTCCAGATAGGCAGCCTGGCCTGTTTGGGCCAGATGTCCACCTGCCCAATGATGTTCTGCTAGGGAATTTCAGATTATTCTTTGTGTCTGAACTCTGAAGCTTCTGCATCTGGCAAGGCTTCCTGCCTTTCTGCATTTTCCTCAGCCTTACTGAGACTGGAGGGCACTGTGAGGACAGATTCATGTTCCAGTCTATCACAGCCACTCTCCCACCCCAGTACTATCACAGTATCTCAGGGTGATAGAAAAATGGTATCCGGTAGGTGGATGTCCAGTGGGTTTTTAGCAGCCCGTGCTGTTAGCCAGCCAGCTCTCAGCTGATACCTGTCAGGATGCTGTCCTGAGATCACCTCATCTGTGCGACATGGTGAGAGGCTTCTAGCTTACTCACTGCCTCGTGTGAGATCTGTTGATGTACTGTACTTTGAGACACTGTTTGGGGCAGTTTTACTCTGTCTTAGAGCACAATCTGATTAGCAGGGCTGCCACTTTTCCTTTCTGTTTCCAGTGACTGATGATGAGATAATGGACTGCTGTCTCCTTCCTGGAACTGAGACTGTTATTATCAATCACAGCCTGTACCCTGGGCCCAACCCTCTGCCTGCAGACCTTAAGTGTTGAAGGAGTGTGCAGGGCCCAGTGTTAGCAAACATCTTGCTCCCCCTTTTAATCTTTTCGAGGCAAACTTTGTGGTTTTTTGTTTTTTTTTTTCCTCCAGGGACATTGAAACTCATGGAGGGAGCGGACAAACTGCTCTGGTCTGTGCAGGTTGATCACCAGCTGTTTGCTCTGGAAAAGCTGGATGTTACTGTGAGTGTCTGTGGAAAGGGTTGGGAGGGATGAAGACAAAAAACTCAACATGGCTTTCTGTCTGTGAATTTAAGAAGGGCAGAGGGAGTACGACTCGGTTTCTCAGGATGACACAGAGTGCTCTGTGCCAGTGCATTCTGCACTCACCTCAGTCTGTCCACCTGCAAGTGGTTGAATCATAGAATCATAGAATGGTCCAGGCTGGAAGGGACCTCCAAAGGGCATCTAGTCCGACCTCCCCGCAGTCAGCAGGGACACCCCCAACTAGACCAGGTTGCCCCGGCCTTCATCGAGCCTCTCCTTGAATATCTCCAGGGATGGGGCCTCAACCACCTCCCTGGGCAACCTGTTCCAGTGCTCCACCACCCTCACAGTAAAGAACCCTCTCCTAATCTCCAATCTTAATCTGCTCCCCTCCAGCTTGAAGCCATTGCCCCTCGTCCTGTCACTGCAGGCCTTTCTAAACAGGCTCTCCCCAGCCTTCCTGTAGGCCCCCTCAAGTACTGGAAGGCTGCTATTAGGTCTCCCCGGAGCCTCCTCTTCTCCAGGCTGAACAACCCCAGCTCCCTCAGCCTGTCCTCGTAGCAGAGGTGCTCCAACCCCCTGATCATCCTCGTGGCCCTCCTCTGGACCCTCTCCATCAGGTCCATGTCCTTCTTATATTGAGGGCTCCAGACCTGCACACAGCACTCCAGGTGAGGTCTCACCAGAGCAGAGTAAAGTGGCAGAATCACCTCTCTGGACCTGCTGGGAACGCTTCTTTTGATGCAGCCCAGGATGTGATTGGCCTTCTAGGCTGCAAGTGCACACTGCCTGCTCATGTTGAGCTGTATCTGCCTGTTTGACCTAGTGAGCCCAGCTTCCTGACAACTTTTTAGTCACCCAGCTATTCTTTTATCTTACTGCAAAGTTGAATGGTTTTGCACGCTGCTAATACCCCAACTGTCTACAACCTCTTATGATATATAAGGATTACAGTAGAGAGAGATGGCCTCCAAGTGTGAAAAGACTGGGCAAGTGCAAAATGTCTGGACAAGACATCCAAAAGTGATGTCTTGTTCAGACATTAGTGTTCTGTCTCTGAACAAGCAGGAAAGATTCCTGACTGCCTCTGGGAATAGTTGATGTGCGTGCTAATCTGCAATCTTATGGTTCCTGCAGGGCAATGGGCATGAGGAGGTGATTGCCTGTGCATGGGATGGTCAGACGTACATCATCGACCACGATCGGACTGTTGCCAGATTTCAAGCAGATGAGAATGTCAGTGCCTTCTGTGCAGGTGGGGAACCTGACTGCAAAGCCAGCTCTTGCAGCATTTCTCCCTCAAAACTACTACTGCCCTCTGGGAGACCTGGAATCCTTTGTCCATCTGCAGTAGGGAATAATTTCCCTGTGTGTATAGTGCAGAAGGGCCAGCTAGTCTTTCCTCTGATAGCATCTGGGACAGTAGGGGTGAGAGGAGGTGTTGCTGAGGTTTGTCTGTGATGGTTTGGGATTTTTTGAGGGGAGTGCTACAGTTGTCTCTTGCCTTTTCCACTGCTTTTTTAATTTGTAGACACTTATGTTGTTCTCAAGTGGAGATAAGGAGCCCCCCAGAACCAGCCCAAGCCTTGGCTTTGCTCAGTCCCCTCTCTCAGACCTGCCAGAAGCAGCTTGCAAAATCCTCAAGCTCCATGCATTAACAATAGTTCAGAGACACATTTTTGGATTGTCTCAAAGGGACTTCATATACCCAAGTCCATGTCTGTGCCCCTCGCCCCGGGTGCTCACTGCTTTCTGCTAACAGCTTTTGTACTCATGAGAAGTTACATACTTGCTTTCTCTGTCCATTTGGAAGTAGTAAGATCTCCACACTTTTGCTTTCTGCAGGCCTCTACGCATGCAAAGGAGGAAGCAACAGCCCCTGCCTGGTTTATGTCAGCTTCAATCAAAAGATCTACATCTACTGGGATGTGCAGCTGGAGAGAATGGAGTCCACCAACCTGTTGAAAATCCTGGATTGTGACCCAGAGTTTGGAAATCTCCTGCAGCAGCTGGGTGTGGGTGAGTGCAGAAAGGGTGAAGTATGGACAGGAAAAAAGAAAGGAAGGGCTGCTGGCAGGTGACAGGTTGGGTACTAGAGTTCCAGGTACTTCTTCAGGAAGAGGGGCTTTCATACTGCTTGTTGAGAATCCCTAACAACTGTCTTCATCTCTTTTCCGTAGAAAGAAGCGACGTTTCTGCTGTCAAAGATCTGATTCACAAAACACTGTATTTTCCTGAGGAACAACAGCAACAGAGCAGCCCCTTTCAGTGTCAGGACCCTGCTGGAACAGACTCCTCTGGCCACCACGCTGCCATGCAGGATCCCTTATAACAAGACACGTGAAGGTTGACATCTTTTCTATCAGCACAAACTCTTCTCCAACTGGGATCAGGCACCTCATGAAGATGAGGCTGTTGTTTTCTCATCTCTGTCAAAGGTTCCACACAGGGAAGGGTATACAGGCAGGGTTCTGTGGAGAGACATGCTTGGCTGTAGGCTTGAGTGAAGGTGGTGGGTTGATTTGCTTTTAGCTGAGGAAGCTACCAGAGCAGCAAGAGTCCAGAGTCCTGCTCATTTGCCTTCCATTGCCACTTTTCCATGTTCTTTGCTAGCTAAAGCATTTTATGGGTGTCTGTGAAGAAGCATTGAGGATATAGATGGAGAAAGTAGCTGAGCTCAGTCTCTGTTTTGGCCTGTTCTTAAAACTGCTCTTGTGATTACTTCTGAGCTCTTAGCAGGATCACAGTGCAGGAACTGCAGGTGGAGGAATTGAGTTAAGGAGCAGACAAGGGCCTTCTCTCCAATGTAGGTTTTTGTTTGCCTTTGCTCTGTTTCTGCTCTTCTCCCGAGCAGTCTCTCACAAACCAGCTCATGTTCTGAGGAGCTGGAGACGTGTGAGAACCGCTACAGCTTGTACTAACAAGTGTTGAGAAGTAATAGCTGCAAGCTGATGTTCTGCTTTTCCCCATCTCAGCTTGCCCTTGCCTAACTTAGCTCATTAGGGTAGGACCAGCAGGCTCACCTGCTGATTTGCATCTATTATCTTCTCTCAGTTTTGTGCAGTTTCATTGGACATGTATAATGGGTGAGGCTGTTCCTTCATCCTTAACGGCAGCCTGAGTCAGAGCAAATGTCATTTAGTGATGTCTCTTTAGAGTCAGAGCAAATGTCATTTAGTGATGTCTCGTTAGCAAATGGTAACACTTAAAGATCTTGCAAGCTGTTGAAGACCTGCTGTTGTATACTCTGCAAAACATCCAAAGGCAGCCCTAACTGGGAGAAGGAACTTTGTATAGAGGAAAGGAGTCCTTTTGCCTTTAGATCAAAAGGACTATTGTTGAAGTTGTGGTACAAGGGCAGGATTTTTATATAATGAGCCCAAGTTTTGCTTTGCAATTTCCACCCATTGATTTATATAAGCTTTATAGAGGAGACAGCTTCTGTCCTCTGTGTTTGGTAGCTCTGAAAGCTGACACCTGGAGCAGTGAAATGGTATGACCTGTTCTCTATCAGCTAGCTGGCTTCTCGGACCACTCTAACTCCAGTGGAAGTTTCTCCATTTTAATGACCTCACTGAGAAGTGTTTTTAAGTGTTCCTCTGTCATATTAAGTACTTCTGTACAATTGGACCCTTCAGGCAGGAGCTCTCAAATCATATTAGTGATTTAGTAACAGTGGTGTTCAGAGCAGCAGGGCTTGAGTTCTATCAGCTGTGCACCACGTTGTAGGGACCACGGGCTAACGCAAGGAGTTGTCTCGAAGCTCTGGACTGTAACCTCAAGAAACTGTCAGCTCTCATGATGCTGAGATGTTACAGCCACCCATCCCGGTGGACAATCACTGCTGCCTCTGGCAAATTGGTCAGTGTGACCCTTGCATCAGTTGGACCAGGCTGAGCTAATCTGGTCACTTGGTTTTGTAGGCTGTTGCAGTGCTGCTCTATTGTAATTCCTTCTGAAGTCCTAACAGCATTGTCTGTGCTGATAACAGAGAACAACTCAGTGCTGTATGTCCATGCCAAATATAAACCTTTATTAGCAACACAAGCGCTAAGGGGGATACAGGTGGTTGTATGGCTGAAACTGTTTTATGCAAAACAAGTTTTGCTGTACAGGTCAAATTGATCCACTATTGGACTGTTAATTGTTGGTAAGAAACAGGAAAGGGTTAAATGCAGGAGGGGTGACGTTTTCCTGAGAACTGTCTTTAAAAGAAAATGGGGCAAAACCAACGTAAATGTTGACAGGGCAACCTGTCCAACCTAGCCCTCTTCTTTTGCTGGCCTGGGTGTGCTGCCTTGTGGAAAGCAGAGGTGACAATACACAAATGCTACATTGCTTAACCTCTTCCGCTCTTAAAACCATTTCAGGAGAAAAACGCTAATGTTTGAGGGTTTCTCTGGTCAGTTTTATATTGCTTACAGATAGATTTTGCGCCTGTGCCCCTTGGGGTGTGCTGCCTTGTGGAAAGCAGAGGTGACAATACACAAATGCTACATTGCTTAACCTCTTCCGCTCTTAAAACCATTTCAGGAGAAAAACGCTAATGTTGGAGGGTTTCTCTGGTCATTTTATATTGCTTACAGATACATTTTGCGCCTGTGCCCCTTGTGCACGAAAGAAAACTGTCTGCAGGCTAATTCGGCTAATTCATGTACCAGCACGAAAGAAAACTGTCTGCAGGCTAATTCATTGTAACTTATGGACCGTTCCTTGGCCAAAAGATGAGTTTCCTTCTCTTTTGATGCCCTGAACTCCTAAGTGACAATTAATAGACTGGCTGCAGTCAGTACTTCCTGAAGTCAATGCTTCAGGCTACTTCCACTGGCCATAATTTTCTTGTGAAGTATCCATCTAATAAGAGAAGGAGCCTTTTAGGCTCTGTCTGTGGGCTGGTGGAGTTACGTTGTAGTTTCATTGTAACTCCCTGCCTGTTTGTCACTCACCGCCAGCCAACACAAGCCACAGAGTTGGAATGTGAAGTTGTTTCCTTCCCACACAGCAGAAAATATGTTGTTTGCTGCATCCTACTCAGGAGCAGGTTGGCATACCCACTGGTGCCAGGAAGCTTTTCAGCAGGGTAGGAATTGCAAGACACATTTGTATGTCCCACTGCCAGCACCCAGCACGTGAGGAGTCCAACAGCATTCTCAGACTCTGGGGGCATTTGCAGATAAATGATTCATGGCTTTTGGCTGTAACATTCAATTTGCTAGCAAGAAAATAAAGGGGCATTATTTTCTTGAGATAGAGTGAACCTGCTCTCATTTTTATGGTCTCTTTGCTGAATGCAGTCAGACTGGCATATCCAGTCATTTCCCAGTGGAGTCTCTTGAAAGGAGGACTTACTGCAAATATACGTAGGTGGCTCGGTGACCTTCAGTTCCATAACTCACCTGCTAGTAGTGAAAGAAGGAGCAGGCCCCTGGGAATATGTATGGCTGTAGTTCCTGTTCTGTTCAAAACCAAGTGACCCCAAGCTCCTGGATAATCGTCCTGATTGTGGCTTTGGCAAAAATGCTAGTTCTTGGGGTGGGTTTATCTCTTGCACATAGGCCATGGATGGGGTCTCAGAAATCCATCTCCCCATCTGCAGGCAGGCTCAGCTGCATATGTCTCACGTGTGCTTCTCTGTTCCGAAGACTTGCTGCCACAGACACTTCCCTGCAGACTATTTCACAACTGCTGTATTCACTCTACGAGAAAGTAGCCCTGGTAGGAGCTGACCACGAAGGTGATTCGGAGAGATTATCCATAAAATAAGAACATTCCATTGTCTGTATTGAAGGGATGGTCCTCATTATGTGGAAGTCAGTGTTGGACACAGAGGATGTGCCTATGTCAGGCTCCAAGGTCACAGTTTGTACCAAATTCCTACTTTCCATATGAAAGCATTAGCATTTTTTTATTTCCAGTGGAAAGGACCTTTAGGTAGCTCCTTCTTTCCTTTTGTCCCCCAAAAGACTGGAATTGGGGTAGGGAAGTGTATTTATATAATAGGCTTTTCCGAAAGAAACTACGTTCGAGGCAGTCTTCAGCCTTGCCAACCTATTAAAAATTACTTACTGGGCTCCTTAACATAGGAAGACTTAAAAATTACCATGTTTGTAGATGGTTTGTATGGGATGTTGTAATGGGATGTTGTAAGTCCCGTTTTACAATCACATCTTTTAAAGCTAAGATTTCTGTCTTTCACAATGGAAGCTGGGATTCCCGTGTAATGACATAAAAATGCTGGTCTTTGAAGAACACACCAATTTGGGCAAGAATTCAGAATACACGTGTTAAGGTCAGTAACAACGTGTCATTTAATGTCAAGGAACTTTGGGAGATGGCAACCCCCAAGGGGTTTTGTATGATGATGAGGAAACCAGGTAGTGACACTGTAGGATGAGACTGTGATTTAGGGAATGAGTTGAAGTGAGGTGTCAGCCGTGGCGGTTCTCAGTTAGTCATATAGTTTTGGGCACCTCAATACAAGAGAGAGATGGAGAGGTGCTGGAGCGGGTGCAGAGGAGGGCAACAAAGCTGGTGAAGGGCCTGGAGAATAAATCTTACGAAGAATGATTGAAGGAGCTGGGACTGTTTAGTTTGAGGAAGAGGAGACTGAGGGGGAGGCCTCATCACTCTCTACAACTACTTGAAAGGACACTGTAGAGAGGTTGGTGCTGGTCTCTTCTCACAGGGAATTGGCGATAGAACAAGAGGGAATGGATTCAAGCTCCAACAGGGTAGGTTTAGACTGGACATTAGGAAAAAAATTTTCACACAAAGCATGGTCAGAGACTGGAATAGGCTGCCCAGGGAGGTGGTTGAGTCACCATCCTTGGATGAGTTTAAGAGTCATTTAGATGTGGTGTTGGGGGATATGGTGTAGGGGAGGACTTTGTAGAGTAGGGTCAATGGTCAGATTCTGATCCCAAGGGTCTTTTCCAACCTGAAAGATTCTATGATTCTATATTTTTTTTATTTTTTTTTTCTGTAAGCTCTGCCTGCAACAAAGCTTGGTGGGGAGGTTCCAGGATAACTGTTGGCAACAGCTTCCTCAGTGCCTGGGTGGAAGAGAACTTTACTGTGTGGATTTGCATGTTCGACTGACACGGACAAGAGGAAAGTGAAAAGCATGTTTTCTGCTCTGGAGCTGCTTTCACAGCTGAAGAGAAAAACTAATTTAGTGCTTGCTTGGAAACATCCTCTCTGTGACTGTGAAGTGGCCCAGTTGCTAGTATATATACAATTAATATAATTGTTAGGAACATAGAGGAAAGGCTGGCAAGATGGTGGCACAATGTGAGAGAGTATTAGCAGGTAGGGTACAGGAAAGTGCTTAATTATCTAAGAAGGCAAGAATTCCTTTTAGAAGAAGCAAATTTGTCACTTAGCAGTGCGGAAGAATGAATTGTTTGCTTGGGGGAAGTAAGGAGCATGCAAAGAAGGGTTCGTGATGAGAGGGACAGATAGGGCTGGTGATTGTCACCTACCGTAGCACATTAATTTGCAGAGGAACCTGAGCTCTTGGTGGTTTGAGGAATGAGGCATGTGGGTCACAGGAAGGCTTCAGAAGGACTGGGGGGTGTTCTGAGGGTGAGCAAAAGCAGAGTTATCCTGAGACTAACGTGTATGAAGCACCTGGTGAATTGTAGCACATTAATTTGCAGAGGAACCTGAGCTCTTGGTGGTTTGAGGAATGAGGCATGTGGGTCACAGGAAGGCTTCAGAAGGACTGGGGGGTGTTCTGAGGGTGAGCAAAAGCAGAGTTATCCTGAGACTAAGGTGTATGAAGCACCTGGTGAATTCCAACGGCAGCTAGTGTATCTGCAGGGCTCTTAAGTGACAGGTACTAGTCAAAATCGAACTGCCAACTCCAAGTCATGCCAATTTTATGTAGGATCCCATCCAGCACCCCTTTAAATCATTGGAAAGATTCCTGTTGGCTTCAGTCTGAGTTTGGGAAGACTTCTACTCACCAGAGCCCAGCTCCAAAATGCACAGCCACCGCCTCGGACTCCCACACAGAAAGTGGCCAGGACTGAAAGCTCTTAGTGGCCTTCACCTTCCCTTGGCAGCCACTTGTGGGGACCAGCAAAGCCTGGCAAAAGCTGTCAGACACTCTGGAAGGCAGCAGAGAGCTGTCTGGGCATCAGCAAAGCAGGACAGAAGCCCTGGGGTGCTCTGGAAGGAAGCAGGCCCCCCTGCAGACCTCACAAAGATTGGCTAAAGCTTTGGGCCACTCTGGAGAGAAGCAGGGCCCTTGGTCCCCCCTGGCAGAAACCATCAAGTACTCTGGGATGTTAGGGTTAGAGTAAGAGATGGGATTAGGATTATGGGGTGGGGTACGGGTTAGGGCCATTAGGGTAAGGAAGTAGGGATAAAGGGTTAGGGATAGGGTTGGGAGTTAGGGGCTTAAATTAGTGTTAGGATTAGATTTTGGGATTGGGGTTAGAGTTAGGAGTTTCGATTTAGCAATTTAGGTTTAGGGGCTACGGGTCAGGGTTAGAGTTAGGGGTTAGGAATTAGAGATAGGGTTACAGTTAGGCTTACTGTTTAGGGTAAGAGTTAGGGGTTAGTGATAGGGGTTTGGGTTAGGGTTTACTGTTAGGAGTTAATGTTCGATTTAGAATTAGGTTCAGATTTTGGAATTAGGTTTAAATTGTTGGATCTAGGGAGTTAGGGTTAGGGGCCAGAGGTTAGGATTAGTGGAGGGGTTAGGATTAGCGTTAACGTTTAGTGTTAGAGCTGGGTTGGGGTTTACTGATTAGGCTTAGGGGTAGATTTAAATGTTTATTTTGGGCTTGGGGTCAGGGTTAGTGAAATAGGGTTAGGGGGTTAGCATTAAAGTTTAGAGTTAGGAGTTAAGTGCTATTGTTAGGTTTAGGATTTGGGATTAAGGTTATGGTTATGAGTTTAGAGTTTGGGGGTTAGGGGTTAGAATTAGGTGGTTGTGGTTAACTTGCAGTTAGGGGTTAGGTTTTGTGTTTAGGATTTAGGATTTAAGTTTAGGATTAGGGTCAGGTTTAGTGGTTGGGTTTAGGGATAGAGTTAGCGTTGGGGATTGGGGTTAGGTTTTGGGGTTGGGGTTTATAGTTAGCATTATGTTTAGGATTAGGTTTACAGTTTCAGGTTAGGTGGTCAGGGTTATAGACTTAGGGGGTTATGTTTAGGGTTAGGGTTTAGACTTGGGGATTAGGGGTTATTTTTAGGAACTATGTTTAGGATTATGGTTACTTTTAGGGGTTAGATTTAGTGTCAGGGTTAAGGTTTGGGTTAGGGTTAGAGTTAGCTTTAATTTTTAGGCTTAGGGTTTAGGAGTTTATTTTAAGGAGATCATAAACGAATTAATAACAAGAGGTGTAATGGACATGGCATCTGTCAGCCTTTAACTGATATTTGCCGTTGTTCCACATATCATCTTTAGAGCGTAACAAGAATCAGAAGCTGGGCAAGTCACTGCTCATAGGAACAGGTGTTTCATCTGTCACAAACAAGATGGTTTTTTCAGCAGAGTTCACCCAAGTACCACGAAGATTCCAGCTGACATACATGATGGTTTAGTACAAGTCTGAACTGTCATTTTAGATCCCTGGGTTTGAGAACCCAGTCAGACTTGCAAGTGATACGAATTCAGGAGGAATTACTGGTACTTTGGAGGACAGGCTCATCGAGTAGACATTGGTCCTAACGTAAAGGAGAGACCTGTTGGTGCCATTCAGGAGATTCATGGCAAGTAGCTCATGCAGCCAGAAATAATCAGATGCACAAGTAGAAGAATGGCAAAGATGCCAAGGAACAGATCAAGAGCTGCAAGATACGATGACTAGCAACAAAAGCCACTAGCCTGATGTGGCTTGTAGGAGGAGCAGTTGCCAGTCACACCAGTTAACACTGGTAAGGGCATCAGAAATCACAGCAGCCAGGCTGTAACTCTGCTGTCCTCAGCGGGTGTTAAACTACAGAATACAGCATCTGATTTGGGAAAGAACTAGCAGAAGAAAGCAAAAACGCGTACACAAGTTCTTGGAGAAGCACAACAACAATGAACAGTTTGATAAAAAAGGAAGAGAGCAAGTGGTGTTTAATCCAGGAAGACTGGCAAAATGGAGGTGTCGTGACATTCTAGGGGTGGACAAAGGGACATTGTGCAGAGTTTGGATGGTGAATTAGTAATCACGAGGCATGGAACGAGACCTGATCTGGTGCATCTTTCCTACAGCTAGTAAATAATAGACTATATATTTATCATACAGCTACGCTCTGTTAAAAAACTAAAAAAAAATTAAATTAAAAAATTTTAAAACCCTAACAGTTAAGTAACTTAATAATCACCTTGGTCATCCCAGATGAGTTCGCAGCTCTCTGACCTGAGCTGATACTGCAAGGGAATCTGGTTCTTGTTTCATGCAGGAGTAGCGAAGTTGATGGGCTGTGAGATGCTGGGACTTAAGGCTGATGGTGTGTATGTGTCCAGTCACTAGATTTCAAGTTGAAAGAAAGGAGCTCACAGAGCAGAAGACTCTGGGTTGTGTAATTCATTGCAGCATTTGAACTGAGTGGCAGGATCTCTGATGACGCGGCAGAGGTGATAGGCCTGGTCAGAAGAGCAAGGTGTGCAAGTCTGGTTACTACTACAACACCAAGAGATGATAAGCATTGCTATTCATATAGTATTGCTTAGTAGCCAAGGATGCAGTGGCAAAGCAAAGCCCAAGCCCCTCTGACTGTCCACTGTACTCCAGGCATCTACAGTCAGCATTTCTGCAAATGTTTCTCAGAATTAGGAACCCTGAAAGTGTTCTTGCTGCAAGGTTTTTCCAAGAAAATACTTCTCTTTTGCTCCGAGCCAGCAAATAGTAACAAAAACTAGCTTCTCAGAGTACAGATGAGGGGACTGGCCACAGAGCCCTTCTCACGAGGAAAGGGGACTGGAGTCCGCTCGCATTGAGGCAAAGAGGAGTGAAACATTCATGGGAATCTTTGGAGGCTTTTGGAGAAAGTGCTGTCCTTCTGTCCACAGAACAACTTGAGATTGTTCACAGAGACTCTCTTTGTCTCATGAACGGAGGGTGTTGTAAAAATAAAATTCAAAGGCTAGAGTGAGTTTAGTACAGAAAGCAGAAATTGAAGTGACTAGAGACGTAGAAAAAGAACAAAATGGCCACTTGGCACGTGGGGACAAGCGAAAGGGTCCACTAAAAGGAAGGATCTCTCTCAAGATGAGGCACTCCTGGCAACAGCAGCTTCCAGCACACGTTTGCCTTTTTCTTGCTCCCCAGTGAATGCCTCAGCCTAGAACTTAGCAAGATTAGGAGCATGTGAGCCTCACCCTCATCTATGTCTCTCACAGCAGCGAGTCTCTTCAGCCCCAGACGTGTGGGATGCAGCCAGTCACTGACCAGGCTCTTCGGAGGCGTGTAGAAAAGGCAGTTCTTGACTCAATGCTTTAAATCTCAGGACTCCCTCCTCCAAATCAATGCAACACTAAAGAAGGGAAGAGCCAGTTACTTGCTGGATGTACCAGAGAGCAAATCTGATGATGTCTATGACTGGGGAAAACCTGTATAACCATCAAACAGTCCCGCTTTGGGTTTGTACAGACCTTACAATCCCATTCCCCAGCCCCCCGCCACGCTGCCTCCTTGCTCCTATTCCCTTCAATGGATTCTTCTCCAAACCCTGCACAGGGCCATTCTCCTCCCTTCCTCCTTTAACTCCTTCTGAGGTGATGTCCTCTCATCACTTGGGCATTCAGCCCAATGCTTTTTGTGCTTTCTGAGTCTGACTTGTGGCTACAAATATTCAATATGCAGGAGCAGGCTTGCTGCAGCCACATTCTGAGCTACCCGGGAGCCAGGCTCAGCAGAGCATTAGCCCCGGGCTGAGCTGACAAAAGGAGAGGACTTTTTCCACCTGTGTCCAGCGAGTGTTGGAGGCTGAATGTGATCACAAAGTCTCATTTGGCTCAAAGCAAGGGCAGCGCTTGTTCACACCTGCCTTCAAAAGGCAGAACAGATACAACTCATGACATGGTGTGCTTTGCCTTTTCCTAGTATCCTCTTCAGTTTTCTCTTCCTGTTTGCAACTTGTATGGTCAGCAATACAAAGATTGGGAGATGTGATAGAATCCTGTTGGGCCATTCTTTTCTTAAAACCTTTAAGAAGGACTGGGAAGGCATCGGTGACTCATAGTGCAGCCAGCCAGCCAGCTGTGCAACAAGCATAGCAAGTGGCACCCTGGAAGAACCTGGCCCTAAGTATTTGTGATGCTTCCAGCAACCAAATCTTGGAGAATTTGTTGAGAGGAGCTGTTCCTTACCTTGAGAGACAACAGAGTCTGGAGACCAATGCAAAACTCCAGCATTTCATCATCTGAGAAGAGAGAAGAGACTGATCAGGCTCAAGATTGCACCTCTAAGGAAAGTGTGTCTCTCCTGTAAAAGGATGTGGAATGCAAGAGCATCTGGTTCATAAAGTTTTACGGTTATGGTCTATTCAGTATAAAGTGAATAAATAATAAGGAAAGTGATGAATTAAATACATAAACATTAACAAGCAGGTGATAACAGTGACAACAACAAGAGCAGCACTCTTCTGTCACTGATGAGCCGTTAAAGGAGCTACTTAGGCACAGCTCTGAAGAGGGTCAAAATGAACTTTGTAGCTAATAAGAGGAGGGAACCATGATTATTATGAGTATTACGAGATATTTGAGGACTTCTGGGATAGTTTGAAACTCACTATGAGATACCAGAAAGGGCTTCTGGGATCGTGTAAAACTTAACTTATGGGCTGTGCAGGGGAAGGACCAAAGTCAGAAGAAGGCAAGCAGCAGGGTGCAGCAGGGAAGAGCAAGCATGGAAAAATGAAGGGGGAAGGGGAGTAAGGGGCCATGCAAGCAGGCTGTTGGTCAGGTCACTTGTCTGTCCAAACCCTGCACCTGATGGCTGCATTCTATACAATCCTCTTATTAAATCATTTAATTAGGTAAATTTTTTTCTATGTAACTCTATCCCACACGTGACTGCTGGAAGTCTTAAGTGTCAGCAAGCATAGAAGATTCCGTGGGTTAAAGGGCAAATAGGTTTAGATGTCAGCGACTGGAAGGACTGGCATGCAAGAGAGGTACCAGTTAACCCAAGGGACCACGGGCTCATAGGTCTGTGTCAACAACTGGAGAAGGGGATGTAGCTCACGGGTGCCAGCAACTAGAGACCGGCGTGCAAGAGAAGCCTGCGTGCCAGTAACTGGGGAAGGGAGCACAGCCACGGGGCACATACACCTGGGTGACAGCAGCTGGAGAGACTGCAACGTGTGCTCCAAGTTCTTAGTTTCAGTAACTGGAGAAGGACTGTGGGTCACAGAGCTTGCAGGCCTAGGGTGCCAGCAACTAGAGAGATGAGCACGCAAGAGAGCTCCGGGTACCAGCTCTGACCAGGGTCACAGGGGCCTTAAATTAATAAACCAGCAACCGAAGAGGACAAGGCACATGTGTGAGAGATCTAAACGTCCCTAACTAGAAAGACTCAGGAGTGTTTCTATTTCCCCAATGAACTTATTCCTATATGGCTCTGATTTTGTATACATAATTAGCAAGCAAACTTCCATCTGGTCTAGCCAATAAGCAGGACAAAACCTGCATCGGGAAAGACTCAGGGTCTGGGTCAGTGGCTTCATAAGGTGCCCAGGATCCAGACATGGATATAAGACAGACCCAGAAGCTGTGCTGTTATTCGAAGACTCTCTGAATATGAGTGTGCTTGTGAATCTAGAGACTGAGGATATATATTATATATATATTATAAGCTTCTGCTAGTGAAAGTCAGTCCTAGTCAGCTGGAGAGGAGCATCAGGACTGGGCTATGTCTGCTGGTATTTATGTAAGTGCTGGTAAAGGCCCTGCTCTCTGTGTGGTAATCTCTGTGGCTGGCTTTGTCTGTGTCCTCTCTGGTACATGCCTCTCTGGAATATATATTCAGCCTTGCGACTGTCTGAACCTGCCACTAAGAACAGGCACCAGACCGGGCAAGAGCAACCTCCTGGATCTTAGAGTCATCCCACCTGGATTTCAGTGGCAGGGAAGGAGGAATCCACAGGTCCTGGAGTCTGCAGGATTCAACAGCCACCAATTAACATTTCCCACGTCTCCTGGCTGTATGCTTGCCCTGTAACCAGCGGCTGTATTTTGCAATTTGTTTATTTATAACCACGTGAGCATGAGCACTGTGTGTGCAGGGAGATGTAGGGCACAGATGTAGCAGTTCTGCTCCTTCAGCAGCCACTTTTACATCCCAGCGAAATGGATAGGTGCTAACTGGGCTAAATTCACCTGTGGTGTTACTAATACAGTCTCTCCATGAAGGGCAAGAAGTAGAGGAGAAACCAGGGAAGAAGAGTGAGCTGTAGTATGGAAGAGGAGGAAGGTCTTTCTAGATGACTGGGAAAGTGGGAAGAATGGACATGAAAGAGCAAGGGAGCAAGGGAGGCCTTGGAAGATGAATAGAAATCATCAAAGATGAGGAGACAGATAAAGGAAAAGAGGGTAAAGCAGGAAGACTGACAAGGAGAAAGAACGGGGGAAAAAAGATTACTAAGTTGTTTTCAGCACATGTGCAACTTGCTGTAAATGCAGAACATGCAGCCTTTCTGCTGTTTTCTGGGTGTGCTCCAGTGCCTGCTGACTTGACCTTGTCTCCTACAGCTGCTTACTTCAGGGGGTCCTGCCTCAGGACACAGAGGGAGACCCGGCACTCTGGAGCTACCAGGTTCCTCCAGCATGCTCCCTGCAGCAGAGGGAGGTGAGTACACAGAGAAAAGCTCTGGGGAATAAGCTGGAGCCTCTCTCAATTTCTCTGATAACTTCCATCCAGCCAAAGACACAAGTGCCCATTCAATAGGAGAACATAGGGCACCAGAGGACTAATCAAACAGTCTGGATAATTTTAAGAAAGGTCCATTTTAGAAGGAAATGAGAATTTTCCACATCCTTTGTTAAGACCAAAAACCACCTAATTTCTCCCTTCTTTCAATGTCTTATGTCTTCTCTGTGCTCTTCCTATGCCCTTTACCTTTGGTTACATGGAGGGTATTCATAATGCATAGTGATCTTGGCCAGCAGTGGAGGTGACCCCATCACCAACTTTCCACCACATTATGATCTGGTGGGATCCCAGAGGTCCTTTTAAATGCTCTTGGCAGGGCAAGAGGGACACAGGAAAACTCGGGGAGAGAAAGGGCTGGCACTCTCACCTACAACCAGTGCTGAACACAGCACTGTCTCCTGGCCAAATTGCAACTCCATATGTTCTACTCGGCCAACAACGCTGAGGATGGGAAGAGAGAGGTCTCCACAGTCCATGGCAGACACTTCTTCCAGCCTGTGGGACACAAGAGGTGTTATTACCTCAAGTGGGAGGAAGAGGAATTAAAACAGGACTTCTCACTGATAACAGTACTTCTTGGTCTCGCTGGGAACAGGCCCAGAAGAGGAGGAGTTTTTCATATGGCATATCTGGAGGCGGATTTCACAAGCAAAACCATAAGGTGCTGTCCATTTGGGTCCCTCACAGCTGAGGGCTAACCACCAGCTGGGCAGCTTTGCCCTGCAGTCCACGCAGACAGAATGACACAGCTCTGCCTTCTGTACAGGGGGTCTACACACAACTTTGCCAGTGTTCCTGGCCCTGTAGCCCACCCTCTGCATCTTCACCTAAACAGCCACGTGCACATGGGAAGCTGCTACGAACTATCATTGGGGCTGGGAATCAAGAGTAACCTTGTCATAGGTTTTCTTTTAGCCACCACTCCTTTTCTACTGTGCAGAGACTTACCCCAGCTGGTTTAAACAGCTCTTGGAGATGAGATTTGGTAGACAGCCAGTGTTAACAGTCGCTTTCAGTATCTGACCTTGGCACTACAAAAAACAACAACAGATAATTACTGTGTGGGCTCAAAATTGGCATACCCACTCCTCCAACAGCGTGACAATCCCTTAGACTTTCCTTAGCTACACTGCCAAAGATGTGGTGTTTTAAGCAGTAGTCATAAGGCAGGAGACTCTTCCAAGACAATGGTGGTCTCCCAGTGCTCTGCCAAAGGCTTCTTTTTGAATGTCTTCTTTAACTTGCATTTGATTGCATAGACATTTATCTGTCATTAGCGACTTTATCTTAAGTGTTCCAGTCAAAAGATGCAAAATTCACGAATTTGTTCAGAAAATACACGTGGACTTTATTAGCAGAGCAATAATTGATAGGACAAAAGCTTCTAAAGGAATATAAGCATGTGATGCACCCTTTGTAGTTCTCCTGTCTCCTTTTCTTCTGGTGTCACAGAGAAAAATGTTCAAGGACTGGACATTTGTTCTCAGTTGAACAGCTCCCAGAGGGAGAAGTCTGTGGGAGAAGCCAGAGCACCCAGGAAAAGCATCCCTGAGAAGATCTTGAATTTAAGGCAGTTCCCAAGACAAATGACACATCCAAGTGACTCTTGAATCCAAGAAACAATGTCATCAAGAAGTGGCTATTTTGTGTGGGGCTTACATTAAGTTCCCAGACAGCTCTTTAAGGAGACATGACATGAACACTACAATATTCAAGCTGGTGTCATCTAGCAAAGGGAGGGGACTGGATGCCCTGCAGTCCTCTGCATTGTCTTACTGCAACACTCCCCAGTGCCTTCCCTACTTCATTTCTTAACCCCTTTGCACTTGAAAGGGAACAGGGAGATATGGTTGCCATCTGTTTTCTGTCCCCTCTGCACATAAGTCCTCAATGCCAGGCCAGAAGGAGGGGAACGAGGAGAGGATGGGGGGGAATGGAAGCAGGTACCTGCTCGGGGCAGCAGGAGAGTCCCCTCCAGACCTCTCCTGCCTTCCCAGGTGCCCGTACAGAACAGAGAGGGGCCTCTGGAGATAGATGATGAGGGAATTGGGGATGGTGATAAAGATCCATCCAAGCAGTTGCCGAAGCAACCAGCTCCGTGTATTGAGACTGCTTCTGTGAGGATCAAGAGGAGGGCGATAGTTCTGGGTGGTTCCATTCTGAGGGGAACTGAGGGTCCCGTGTGCCGGCCGGACCCTTCCCACAGGGAGGACTGCTGCCTCCCTGGGCCCGTGTTAGGGACAGAACCAGGAAGCTTCCTGGCCTGATGCGGCCCTCAGATTATTACCCTCTTTAGACCTTAGAGGCAGACAGTGATGAGCTGGAGAGGAGAAGTCTGAGGGCAATGAAGAAAGATTTCAGGGCCTTGGGACAACTTGTGAAGAGTTCAGGGGCACAAATCGTGTTCTCCTCTGTCCCTCCAGTTTTGGAGACTGATGGATGGGTCTCCGAAAGAAGACCAGACAGATCAATGCCTGGCTCCAAAACTGGTGCTACCAGCAGGGCTTTGGGTTCTCTGATCACAGTTTGATTTACAGGACACCAGGCCTGCTGGCAAAGGATAGGAAAAACCTATCCCAAAGGAGGGAAAGGATACTAGGCCGAGAGTTAGCAAGGCTCGTGGCCAGGGCTTTAAACTGGAATTGAAAGAGGAAGGGGATAAAACCAGGACCACTAGTAATGAGCCTAGGGGTAAAGGGCCAAGGATGGCAACTACAGAAGGGTCTGAGCATGGTCAGGTGGGAATTAGGGCTCGTCCCCCCCAAAAAGTGACATTCATCTACATGAATGCACACAGCATGGGCAACAGGAGGAGCTGGGGGCCATTGTACAGCAGAAAAACTATACAGTTGCCATCACAGAAACGTGGTGGGAAGACTCACACAACTGGGGTGCTGCTATCAATGGCTACCACCTTTTCAGAAGGGATAGGTAAGGAAGGAGAGGCTGTGGGGTGGCCCTCTATGTTAGGAACAGATTTGAATGCCTAGAACTTAACAATGTGAATGACAGCGTTGAGTGTTATGAGTAAGAATCAAGGGGAAGACCAATAGGGCAGACATCCATAGGGCTGTGCTGCCATCCAGTGTGACCTGGACAGGCTGGAGAGCTGGGCAGAGAAGAACCTAATGAGGTTCAGTAAAGCAAGTGTAGGATCCTGCACCTGGGGAGGAAGAATGGCAGACACCAATAAAGGTTAGGGGTGGACCTACTGGAAAACACTTTTGGGGAGCAGGATCTGGGGGTCCTGGTGGATAGTAAGCTATCCGTGAGCCAGCAATGTGCCCTTGTCACCAAGAGGGCCTGTGAATGCAGGGCTGCACAGGGCACCTGTCTGAAAGTGGTAAGGGGACATTCCTTGCTTCTGTATGCAATTAGGAAGTACCTCCTATCATGGGAAAGCTTGCCTCCAAAGGAAGGAGAAGTGATTAAGCTAATTTATCTTCAAATATGGACAACTAGAATGCATGTGGCAGAAAAGCTTTCCTCTCTCTGTTGTAAGAATGGAATCCCATCTCCAGGAGAGGCCATGTGGGAAATTGCTCTCTCTGGTTGCAGCTGGCTTTGCAGTCAATAACTTAGCATGGCCCTTGGGAGTCAGGCAGCTGGAACTCATTCTGCATTTGCCATCACTGTGAAATCATCAACACCGTGTTGTTGCCTTACCTGGCACTGTATTAGTAGGAGTGAAGTCTCTTTTCTCCTGTCTTCTCCCTTTTTCATCTTTTCATCCTGGTCTTTTGCCAGCGGAGATTGAACCCGTGCAGACTGAACCCTGGTCTTGCCCCTCATCTTGTTCAGATTGCCTTCCAAGAGGCGCCGCTGGACCACACTATGTGGCTGCTGTCTCCACCACAAAGAAAGAGAAATCCCAGCTAAGTATGGAGGTAAGGACAAGGACACTTGCTAGCCCAGGGAATCAGACTGCAAGTACTTGATGCAACTGATCATCCTGATGGAAGACAGGCTTATCCAAAAAAACTTTCTTTAAATCCCAAATTTTTTTTTCTGTAGCCACTAAGGTGACTTTAAAGTGTTGGGCTGTCTGTGCCTGGCAGGTGTCTGAGATATATCTGTTCCTTCAGCTAAATGCCTACTCGGGTACTGCAATATTCTACCTGGTGGGTGTGTGCTGATGTTCACCTTCTAATGTGGGCGGGGACATGGGATGCAGCATCTGTGTGATGTACACGTGGGTAAGAAGGCAGGACTCCAGAAATGTTAGGTGTGTAAGCAATTATTCGTAGTGAAGCAGGAAGCTTCCCCTGCATAGTAAAGTAAAACTTGCTTCTAATGTTCTTTGGAGTCTGGGTCTCTGCTCCCCTCTGTCAGAAATGATACTATTTTAACTCCGTTCCTAGTTGGGGGAGCATCTATGAAGCCCTACGTTGTTCACACCTAGAAGGGAGTGCCATCAGCCAGATGAAGGAACTTCATTCCTATCTCATGTATCTTGTATTCCTATCTCATTCCTATCTCTTTTCTTCTGGGCAGAAGATGGGGAGGTGCACCAAAAGAGAAGAAAAATAGTGAAAACCACCTTGTCCCAACATTGCATACACACTATGTATGTAGGAAAGTGTTGCTTTGGAAAGAAAGCTCCCTTTGTCATCAGCTTGATGCTCTAGTTGTTGTCCGATGTTGGATCCAGTGCATTCAGTCCCTGCACAGCTACTGAATCAACAACGGGCAGCATCAGCGAAGTGGGCCTTTTGGGGGTAGTTCTGTCCTTCCTCCACGTATTTGGCCCCATGGCTGATCTCCAGGAGCTGCTCAGAGCTGACAATAGTGTTCTCAGTAACAACTGCCCATGTGAAGAAAGGTGATGAATCTAAAGGGGCTAATGTGCTACGGCATAAACCATTGCTTTTATCTTTCTCAAAAAAAATTAATAAATCAACTTCCAGATGGTGCAGTTGTTCAATATAGGATCTTATTATCATGATCTGAATCATGCCCATGGCTTATTCAATATAGGATCTTATTATCATGATCTGATAAGCCCATGGCTTAGATGGGAGTATTCTCCTCTGGGTTAAAAACTGGCTGGAGGGCCATGCCCAGAGAGTGGTGGTGAATGGAGTTACATCCAGTTGGTGGCCGGTCATGAGTGGTGTCCCACAGGGCTTGGTACTGGGGCCGGTTCTCTTTAACATCTTTATCAATGATCTGGATGAGGGGATCGGGTGCACCCTCAGTAAATTTGCGGATGACACCAAGTTGGGTGGGAATGTTGACCTGCTGGAGGGTAGAGAGGCTTTGCAGAGGGATCTCGACAGGCTGGACTGATGGGCTGAGACCAACAGGATGAGTTTCAATAAGGCCAAGTGCCAGGTCCTGCCCTTGGGTCACACCAACCCCCTGCAGCGCTCCAGACTTGGGGAAGAATGGCTGGAGCTGCCTGGCAGAAAAGGAGCTGGGGATGTTGGTCACCTGTGGGCTGAACATGAGCCAGCAGTGTGCCCAGGTGGCCAAGAAGGCCAACAGCATCCTGGCCTGTGTCAGGAACAGTGTGGTGACTAGAACCCAAGATGTGATGGTCCCCCTGTACTCAGCACTGGTGAGGCCTCACCTTGAGTGCTGTGTCCAGTTTTGGGCCCCTTACCACAAAAAAGACATTGAGATGCTGGAGCAGGTCCAGAGAAGGGCAACGGAGCTGGTGAGGGGTCTGGAGAATAAGTCTTATGAGGAGAGGCTGAGGGAGCTGGGGTTATTCAGTCTGGAGAAGAGGAGGCTGAGGGGAGACCTTATCGCTCTCTACAACTCCCTGAAAGGAGGGTGTAGAGAGGCAGAGGTAGATCTCTTCTCCCAAGTTACAGGAGATAGGACAAGAGGAAATGGCCTCAAGTTGCACCAGGGGAGGTTCAGGCTGGATATTAGGAAAAATTTCTTCACTGAAAGGGTTATCAGGCATTGGAATGGGCTGCCCAGGGAAGTGGTTGAGGCACCATCCCTGGAGGTGTTCAAAAGACGAGTAGACATGGTGCTGGGGAGTATGGTTTAGTGTTGGTGTGTGGGTTTTTTTGTGGTTTGTTTTTGGTTTTTTGTTTGTTTTGTTTATTAATTTTTTTGTGGTTTGTTTTTGGTTTTTTGTTTTGTTTATTTTTTTTTATTATTATGGTTGGACTAGATGATCTTAAAGGTATCTTCCAACCTAGGCGATTCTGTGATTCCGTGAATTAGACCAGACCTGCCAATGAGTTGGGCTGTATTAACCTTATGAGGTGTGTGTGCTTCAAACCAGCTTTATGCTTGGTCAGAGGGCTAAGGCCAGGGAAGCTTGTAAATTGCAACTCGGAGCACACCGACTTGTCAGTTTTCCCCAGTGGTTGGAGTGGGAGAGCTGTTATTGCCTCCTTGGTTGCACTCAGCATCACAGGGTGCTGAGTCTCTCCTGCCTCTGTTTCACCATCACCCCAGGAGTAAGAGTCAGATCATTCACACGCTGCATGACAGGCACTGCAGTAGTTGGAAAAGCGAGGCAAAAATATCTCTCTGTTCCTGGTTCTTTTCCCAGCCTACTGTGCAGGCCCACAACACAGCTGGCCGTTGTACTGCACTCCCTAAATACTCTGAGCACAGTGCCAGATGCTAGCTAACATCTGGGCCATGGAAAAAGCACAGGGAACCTACAGCGGGTCTCCAAATTCCCACCCTCCCTCCTGTCTCCTCTCACAATCTGGCACATGAAGGACTTTCCCTCTCCCCACGACCTTTCCCACAGAAAGAGCAGACCCTTTGCAACTGCCACCTCTGTCTCCTTCTTGTCGCCCAAGCTGGGAAGAGGCCAAGCACTGATGGAGGAGCACTGATGGAGTAGCTGAGTTTTGGGACTGTGGAGGCATCTGATCTAAGAGCAGATTCTTGGAGCCTTCCCTGTCTTCTGTCTCACCAGTGAGATGAAGAAGTGGAGACCATTGTCCCTCTTGGGCTGGTAAGTAACAGTGAAATGAAGGGGATGGTGAGGGAGGACCTGAAGGGAGTTGTGGCCAGCAGCTAGAAGGGAGGCCCTCTCAAGACTCTTCTAAGAGTCGGAGCAGGTTTCCAGTGCAACTTACCAGTTTCAGGCTCTCCGGTGTGAAATCTCAAAGCCTTGCCATGATAAATGAAGTGGTATGAGCCGGGGATCTTGATTTTTGGGAGGGGAGAAGCCAGCTATCCAGACCTTCTTGATGTTATCAGAATATTTTAGCTGATGCAGCTACTTGTTTTCTTTCCCATTAAAAAAAAACAAAACCCAAACACCAAAATGTCATGCTTGTAGTTATAAAGCTGGAAATGTGAGTTCTCCACTGAAATGTATAGAATCATAGAATTGTCTAGGTTGGAAGGGACCTTAAAGATCATCTAGTCCAACCATCAACCTAACCCTGACAAGAAAATAAATTAGAAATAAGCAATAAAAAGTCACTAAACCATATTCCTGAGGACCATGTCAACCCGCCTTTTGAACACCTCCAGGGATGGTGCCTCAACTGCTTCCCTGGGCAGCCCATTCCAATGCTGGATAACCCTTTCCGTGAAGAAATTTCTCCTATATAATTACTCATTCTTTGAAATGTGATGGGAGCATCACTCCCAGGCCCTGCTGGATGCATTGCATAAGCTGAATGCACACCCAGCATGCACAGAAAAGAGTGGCAAAAAAGAAACAGCCTGACTTTGTATAAGAAAACATTTTTTGAAGTGACATGTGGCTTTGCTCTAATTTTAGGACATGTGTGGCTGCCACAGCTGGAGTCTCTGCAACTGTTAGTAGAGACATATTTTGGGGAATTAATTAGACTCTCCTCCCAGTTCAAGTGCTATAGACCTTGGCAGTGTTTTGATCTCTCCAAGATCAGTCTTTCCATCGCTTCTTGCTGCTGCTTTGTTTCAGCCCTGCGTTCCTGTTCTCCAGGAGGGAGCCAGATCAATTTAGGAAACATAGATGGAGTTTTTCATGGGACTGGAGGAGTGCCTGAAAAGTGTATTTTGGTCTCAAAACATCACAGTGGTATCACAGTGGCCCATCGAGTTGCAGGGACGGCTGAATCGCTCTTGGAGATCTAAGGCCTGCTTCTTCTCTTGCTCTGAGGTGAACCAGAAACAGAGACACCACAGCGACTGGATCCACCCCAGGTATGGCACTGCACGTGTGAACGTTTCACGGGTGCAGCACTTCATTTTGCACCCTCTAACACCAGTGCAAAATTTCCAAGGTAGAAAAGATGTTATGTTTTATTCACTGCTCCCTAGCTCCGTGGTAAAAGCGTTTCTGTGATCCTGTTACAGCCCAAACACGAACCATGTAGTGGTTTAAGTGACTGAACACCCTCTGCGTGTGAGGAGGTCTCTGGCCTAGAATGGTTAATTTGACCAGGAGAGCTGCTCGTGGTGAGCAACATGGAGAAGGCCTGTCTCACAAGAGCAAGCATTTGGGGTGCAAGCAAGCAAGAGTGCCAGCCTCTGGAGGCAAAGGCTGCCATCTGCAGCGTGCAGGGCTCTCTCTCACAGGGGCCTCTGGCTGGCACCGCAGTTGAAAGCCACGTGTGCGACTGCCAAAGGCTGGCGGAGGTGACCACTTATGGTGACTTTGAGGAGCCACACTTGACCCTGCCCAGCCAGGGACCCTCAGCAGCCATCAAGATGGCTGCAGGGAGGGCGGTGGGGAGCAGGGGGGGGGCACCAGTGCAGGAACATGGTGCTGACCCCTCACTGCACGCAGCAGAGCCTCTGCGTCTAAAGTTTTCAGCAAAGCGGATGGCTTCCATTCAGGGCCTGTGCCTAGGACCCTGCCCCTGTACCGTGGACCCACTGCCGGCGGCCGTGGGGCCTGCCGTGGGACTGGAGGAGACACACATGCACAAACCCCCGTGGTGCCAGTGCCACAATCTGAGGATACGGAGGGAAGCACGGCCTTGGGGCAGTCCCTCCAGACCACATCAGATCTCCTCCCTGATGCTTCCTGCTCCACGTCTCCTCAAGGAGACACCCATAGGCCTCACTCCTCTGTCCCCTTCCCAGAGGAGCAGGTTATCCACAGGTGCTGGCCGCTGCAGCTGCCTGCCTGCCTGGCTAGCAGTCCTGCCCTGTGCTTGTCCCTCCAGAAGCCCAAAGAAAGGGGGAAAAGAGAATAACGCAAAAAAAGGTGACAAGGTCAAACCTTGGAGTTTTATGACCCTTCCTGCTGGGTCCAGGAAGGAGTCTACTTTTGAGCTGGATCATGCAGGAATACATAGGTATCCCACATGGAGACATACACGTCAAATAAACATATTTATGTAGCAGATGAGTGGAAAGTAGGATCCTGGGGAGTCCTTCTAGGCCGTATCTGCCTGCCTCTGGGAGGAGTTTTGGCCCTGTGAGGATGCACAGGAAGATGGATGCAAAATTAATTCTTTCCCCTCACCCTGACCTGTTCCTAGATGATGCTGAAAGGAAGTTTCATCTTTGCTGAACTCATTACCCTTTCACAAAGCCTGGCAGCAGTTCCCAACTGGGATGAAGGCTATTAGGAGGATCCTCTCCCAAATGGGGTCCCACTGGACTTACCAGATCCTTGGAGGTGCCAAGTCTTGTCAAGCCATCCAGGGGCAGCAGGTCAGCAGAGTCCTTGTGCACAAACTGGGTGGCCTGTTTAAGGCGCCTCTTCTGTTGGAGAATAGCTTTGTTCCTCAGTTCCATCTCGCACTCCTGTTGCCCCTGGCCAGGAGTACCCTCATTCTGCTTTTCCTCCTGGTCTCCTTGCTCCAGTGGCAGGGGGCAGCTCTTCCTTGTGTTCATCGTAAAGATTCAGACAGAACAGGTCCTTCTTGATATGCTGGGGAGTTTCTTGCACTTGCCTCCTGGTGTTTGCCCTCTTGAGGCTGACTCAGTCTCTGAGCAACTTTCCCTTCCCCACAGCTCTCTGCCTTCCTCTTGTCTCCCTTTCTCTGCCTTTTTTCCTGCTCTCTTAGTTACAACTCACCCATCTCTGAAGCTTATCTGTGCCTTTTTCTCCTTCTGTCCTCTCTGCTCCGCCGGTGTCCCCCTGGTACCCACCTCTTCTTCCTCTCACTCTCTTCTCCTACCCTGACTGCAGCTCTGCCTCCTCCGGTCGGTGGGTCCCTTGCCGTAACAGAAGAAGCCACACGTCAGAAACCCATTTCCATAAATTACAGCGAGAGCCTGCAAAATGCTCCAGCTGGAAAAATCCAGCAGCAGAAGGATGACCCCGCTGCTGGGGGCTGGACTTACCTCCCTCCGGCTGCGCGCACGCATGCGCCTGTGTCTGTGTTTTCCCCACCATACGCTGCCCGTTCCCCACAATCTGCTGAGGAGACAGTAAATCTCTCGGTGGCGGTGCCGTGCGGTTCCGTGTCTCTGCTGGAGGCGGGGCGGGGGAGAGGTTTGACGCATCTCAGTGAAGCTGGAAATACTGGCAACAACATGTTTCAGTCTAGGAGATGATGCGGTGCCTTGCTAAATGGGAGAAAGCATCCATCTCAAGGTTCCTGGCAGGCGTGCCTACTGTCATTTCTGCAGAGACTGTCACACATTTGGAACACTGAAGGATTTTACTGTTTAGCTTGAACAAAATGCTGAAGGCTTGATTTCTGCTTCCAGCCAGGGCGAACATATTGGGCCTGACTCTGACCTGGTTTTCCACCCCTGTCTGCCTAGAGCTGAAGTTGCAGAAGTCCAAAAATCACTGGCTTCTTGCTACCAGTGAACTTAACTCTCTGTCTACACTAAGAGTATGCTGATATCACTGCAGTGTGAGATGTCTGGACCAGGGCAGACATCCCTCCTTTCGGGAGAGAGAGGACATGGCAGAGCTCACTTTTTCAACTTTCTGCCTCCACATTGTCCTGCTTGAAACGACAAGTTTCAACTTGAACTGAAGATGCTTTGTTTTGATTCCTTTTCACCGGTGAATGCACTGCCCCAGTAAGGACCAGTTCTGATGTCACATACAGAGTAGGAAACTGAGTTTTACTCAGCTATGAAGCTTAGAACACCATTACCTTTCTGTAAATGTCAACTAGGGGTGAAACAGTTTTAATGTATAACATAGAAAGAATAACAGCAACAGACTATGAAAGTTACAGCAAAAGGCTTTCTGTTGCTCCCGTTGTTGTTTTTTTTTCCAGCTTAGTAGTGTGTAACAGTCCAACGTTACTGATACCAATTATTTCTATATTCTAGATGGTATATAAAAATATAACACTGAGTTTGCATTGTCAGGAAGTAAATGCAATGGTCCATGTACAAAGATAAGTCCACTCAGCCACTGTGAGACCTCAGCGTGGTTACAGAAACTACAAAAAAGTTGCCTGGGTGCAAAGCAAACCATGTTATTTACCTTTTAATCCCTGCTAATCATCACAGCGTTAGCAGGTCTCTTGCGATCTTTGGTCCTCAAATGTTAGAAGGGAGGCTGGTAATTTTGGAGTCATTCAAAAATTTGAAGAGGTTAACCCTTTTTGAAGAGGTTAACCCCTAGTATGTGATGCTGCTACAGTGACAGGAAGACAGCTTTAGGCTGTGTTCATACATCAAATGTTCATTGCATTCTTGGTGGCTAGGCTTTGGCATCATTTGAATGACAATCGAGATTATCTCTTGATCTCCTAACTCCAGCAATCAAGATTTTAATAAAAACAGCAAACAAATCAAAACTGAGATTCAGCTACGGGAAATGGCAAAACAGCTCCTGTTATTGTAATATGCCAGTCCCATGGGTATGCATAGCAGAGTGCAGACTGTCGAGCACTAATTAGCTACAGGATGGAGCTCCTGAGATCAGACCATTCTGTGGCATAAATATAATTATTTGCAAATACTTGGAAAAGCATATTGATGCTGAAAGTATCTTCAGTGATCCCACAAGCTGCAAGCAATATGCTTTATGGTGTCAATTCTGCTGCATTCCCGAGCTTTTTCCTCTTCCTATCATTGGGTGCGAAATACATCAAACACTGTTAACTATCCAAAATGTTAAGGCTACATTGTGATTTGAATTCATAAAGGGATGGGGTATTGTGGCCTGTTGTGTAATGATATTACCTAAAACTTTGCCTTTATTAAAATTTACACAAAAATACATAAAATATTAAAGAATACAGTACAACAAAAAAAGATACCATATTGCTAGTGGAAAACCCCACAAAAATAGCAAATGTTAGCAAAATTAGAAGATTCCTTTGAAGTCCAGTTAGATGAGGGGGTTTTTTGTCCTGTTGGAAAACTGGTCTATCCATTTTTCAAACAGTCCTGTTTATAATGAGCTGGTCTCTTGTTTGTAACTACAGATGAGTAGAACAATAATTGCCTTCTACAAATCAGGTGGTTAAACAAAGGCCCTTTCAGGAGAGGCAGCAGCCTCCTATCTGTCCATGAAAAACCAATAGCAGAGATCATAAGCCATCCATGTCTTATTGTAGCTTAATGTTAATTTGTGCTGACCGTTTTGCTTGACTTTCTTAAATAATGTCATTAAATGTTTCTGGTTTTAATTAGAGTACATTAAAAAGAAAGAAGCAAACATGGAAGATAAATAATTCTGATTAGATATCTTCTACACAAACAGCTTACCAGTGCGCTCTGCATAATGACTGCCCACAGATTTTGAGGTGTGGAATAGAATCTGCTCCACATAATCTTTTGCTTCGAAGCAAACATGGAAGATAAATAATTCTGATTAGATATCTTCTACACAAACAGCTTACCAGTGCGCTCTGCATAATGACTGCCCACAGATTTTGAGGTGTGGAATAGAATCTGCTCCGCATAATCTTGTGCTTCTATAAGTAAACTGTGCATTTATCATCTTTATTTTTCCAAGATGATTTGTAACTGAAACTCACGGATAAATGTATCATTTGAACTGGATCAGCAAGTCACATTCATGGCCTTTATGTTCTAAAACCATGCTTGTATCAAAGCCAGAAACCAGCCTGAGATGACTAGTGAAGGAGGACGCTTTCTTAATCTCAGGCAGCTAATACTTTTTTATATCCTGAATATCTTTTTATCTGGTTGTAGCTCACCTCTGCTGGAAAGAGAGGAGGGTGGCTATTTCTCTTCAGGAATAAACTCTTATTTTTCAAGCCTGTCATTTTGCTCTCTGAATCCATAATGCATTTTAACGAGGAAGTCGCGTGTTTTACTGAAAAAGACATTTCCGCATTTGTCTAGAGCTAGACTGCCCTCTGGTAGAAATGATGGCCTGAAACCCACACAAAAAGAGTGCTGGGTTGTAAAACAGGGTCTCTTTCTTCCATATGGGGAAGGGCTTGAGTTCTTCCTCCACCAGGCAAGTTGCAAAAGCAAAAAGGAGACAAACATCTTTATTTGCCTCATGTCAGGGGACATCCCGTCCTTTTCGGGTGACAGAATGGAGTAGGAGGAACCCCACTCAACTGGTGAAGGGGAATTACCTTTGCATCTGTTGCACTTCTTCCCAGGTATAGAGCAGAATTTTCAGAGAAGCAGAGCATCCACAGCACTTGCTGGCTCCCTGTAGATTTGTATGTCCCAGATCCTTTGAAAGTGGTGTCTTAAATTAATGTTTTTCTTTCACTGGCTAGAAGGTGTTAAAGAGCCAGAACTCAAGGACAGTCTTGGGATGCTCCTGCGCATTACTCAGAGAAGACCTGGGAGTGCTACACAAGGGGTGTGAAGAATTGTGCCTACTGCTCTTGAGCTACATGAGGTTCATGAGAAGACAAGAAGTATAGCTCTGCTCTTACTGAAGGAGGATGGACAGAGGCATCCACCATCTTACAAGATCACACCTCTACACTATAATCCAAATACTGAGCCTGCAGAGGGACAGGTGATACCTGCCTTCTGGCCTCTTTTCTCCCTCCATATACCTCTCCTCTCTTCTGAGCCTACTTCATTGCTCTGCTCTCAACAACATACCTCTTTGATTCTTTGCCTGGTTACAACTCTCTAAGCTACGCAGACCTCCTGTTTCTTGTGAATTGACACCCCTCTCCCAAATGCCTGAAGATCTTCAGTCACAAAGCATTAACCATGGTCACCAATAGTCCTTCTTTTTCCCTCCTGCTACTACTGTCATGTGGCAGCAAAGCCTTTTACCTGGTTACAACCATGGAATTCTTGAGAGTCACTCTTTTTGACAGCACTGGTAAACTGCTTAATTGCTGTCGTTTGCTGAGCAAGTGTGACTTGGTACATCCCATCTTAGTCCCAAGTCAGACTAACGCTTCAAGTGAGTACCCCAGATCAGTAGTAAGGATGAAGGTATGTGGTGGGGCTACCGCAGGGAGGACATTGGAATTCTTTTGGTTGGGGCTGCTTGTAGGCTCTGCGCCTCCACCGGGAAAAGGGGGTAGAGGGTCCTGTATAATTTGCAGAGAACTTCTGATTTCAAAATGTACAGTTGAAAAGGGAGACGCTGGCAAAAACACAGCTTTTCCGTATGGAAATGCTGCTGTTGTCGTGTTGCCCAAGAATTGTCCTGTTTTAAAACAGAGGCATAACAAAGAACATGTATTTTCTGGCTGAGGTTATCAATAATCTTTAGTGGATGACGCTGCTGTGTTACTTGTTCTGTCTGTGCCAAGACCTGGAGGGGCAGGGGAATTTCTTTCCTATGACATAATTACCTATGTGCTTCCACATGTCTGAGCCCCCTGTATACAGTGCCCCAAACTCCCTAAACTTCGGTGCCTGCTCTACTCCTATACGGGGTGCTGGTGCTGCACCTTATTGTGGTGCCCTGTTGTCTTCTGGTCTGTGTCTGATGTGGTCTCCTAGTATTTTTTCTGCTGATTCTGGCTGTCTGGAAGCCGTCTGTCCAAAGGGAGAGGTGGTTCAGAGCACTCTGTTCTCAGACAAGTTGACTTCTCTTTGACTCAGCTAATCCTTGCAGAACAGAGGCTGACAGCAACATTGGTGCTTTGCTCTGAGCTTTTGCATAACGGAGAGGGTGATGGGCTTGTGCTCAAGAAGTTCTCTACGACACATCCAACCTGACTACAGAAGCATTTCTGTCTTGCAGCCATGTCCCTGCTCTGCCCGTGTACCTCAAGTTCAGTGATTGGCTCCCCAATGGTTCAAAATAACGCCTTTGATGTTATTTCTCACATAATGTTTTATTTCTGCCTCACAGTTCTAGCCTAATTCATGCCAAACATTTTCAAAACAAAATACTCCAGCCCTGCAGCCCCGCTCCCACTGTTCCCTGTCTACTGACACCCAACAGTTCTTAGTCCTAAAGATTTCTGAAGCCCTTTCTTATCTCCTGTTTAGAGGCAAGGAGATTCAGGCAGAAGTAAACGGGACGTTGCCAGAATTTTTCTTGTTCAAATTTCACGTGTCAGCCCAGTAAAACATTTTTCACTGTTGGCCTCAAGCTGAGCCGTCATTTGTGCTAGTGAGACAGAAATATAGGTCAGGGAGTCCAGTATTCCTCCCCAGAAAACCTGAAATAATAATCAAAAGAAAGTGTTTGAAGTATCTTCAGAGGACAAACAGCCTCTAACAAGAGCATAAGAGAACTGCAGTTCTGAAAAGCACACACATCTACATCTGGTTTTGTGTTTATAGAGGAGGGCAGAAATACAATTTTTGACTTGTTTTGCATTTCCAAAATTCAGAAACTGTTATGCTGCTTGAGATGACTTATGTTTTTGAATTGCAAAGTCAGGATTTGCCCATGAAGGGCAGGAGAAAGTGTATCATACAAAGCAAGGGGCTGAGTAACCCAATCTAATGTGGTGTGGCCAGCACGACCAGAGGAATACTGAAGACTTGCTAATGATCACTTAGCGATTCCAGAAAACACACACATTAGACAAGCAAAAATTGGTTGTTCATGCTATGGCCCAGCCTGAACATGCTGAAGGGAGCAAAAGCAGAGAAGACAATACACAGCTGTGTTCCCACAGAAGCTTTATTGAGTATGTAGATACATGAACCATCATTTGTCTGTAAGCAGAAGGATCTTTTCTGTGGCAATTTCCTCTTTTGACATGAGTTCTAGAGAATGGGGATGAGTTGTCCTATAGCACCTAGAGAAACATACCTTACGTTTCCAGAGGTCTCATTTCAGTGAAAATACCAGCATTTGCTTTATAGGGACTTTTTTTTTTTTTTTTTTTTACATTTTCAACTGATGATTGTGATGACAGCAGCTTTAACCATTCCATAGAAGTCCATCTTACTGCAAAAGTGACCCTACCTAATCCCCTAAGCAAATAATAAGACTCTGGACACAGACTAGGGCTTGATCCGAGCTCTCCATTCTGGCCTGGGTAAAAGAAGCCAAAGCAAGATTTTATGCTGCAATCCAGGTAACAATGTTTTGCAGTTTGATTTGAGTTACATATAGGTGATTTTTCAGATCTCTGCCGCAGCAACCTTCAGAACAGCCTAGACTGATATATTTTTGAAGTCAAAGGGGGGAGGGGGGCAACAAAAACAAGAGACATTTTGGGCTCTCATCTAGGGTAGAAGAATACAGGAGATGTGAAACATATGGATAACACTTTAAGTCAAACCATTTACCAGCCCAAATATTCCAATAACTCTACAAGAATAAAATAATAATAATTATTATTATAATTAAGGGCTAATTTAAGGAATGTACAGTATTTACAGTCATTAAAACTACATCGAGGATATTAAGTAATAGGAGAACAAAGCAGAAGGAACTAGGAGTAGATTCCTCGACTCTTTCCTATTGTACATAACTGAGGAGTGCATCCGTTTCCTCTAACAGCTGGAGTAGCAAATGGCATTCAGGGCCTACCTAGATGTTCTATTGGTGACACCTCACCTCCAGGGACTCTCATCTCTAGCATGAGGTTAGAAAGGTTCTATCTCGTTCCACATAAAAGTCTATTGCAGCTTATAAAGGGAGCTCATAGCACCCAATGGGCCTCTCTCCCAGCTTAGGAGTCAACAATGTCCTCTGTTCCCATGGATTAAGCAATTAGTCCAAAGGAGACAGCCTTCCTAGACTGCATGAACAGATCTCAGGAGAGCAGAGTGCTTTCTGTAATATCAGAACGAGTTAAATTCAGCCCTTGGGACAGTTTACTTCAGTTCAGAGATGAGCTGAGACCAACTAATGTCCGTTCCTAAGTTTTCATCCTCAAGACCAGGAAAGCTGATATCTAGAAGGATTTTGCTCAGACTGTCATTCATGGTGTCCAGGATCAGGCCCTCCATGAGAGAGCGGTTTTCAGTAAAGCCAGAAGTTGGCAGTTCAACCGACGATCGCTGAGTGGATTCGTGAAGAAAAGCTGGAGAACTCGTGAGGGGGGCGTGCACCACGTCACTAGACTCTGTATTCAGCAGTTCCCGAGGCGACTCAAAAAGGGGATTTTTAAGGGGGGTGCTGTTAAAACCCAGCAAGTCCTGGTTCTCCTGGACAGGTGTGAATGGCAACTGAAGAGTTCTCACCGGACTGAAGTCCAGCTCGTGACTTCCCTTGTCTAAGGATGCAGATTTCCAAGGCTCAAGACCCCCTAGAGGGGGAGTAGTAGTTGCTGAGGCTTTGCTGGGAGTGGAAGAAACGGGCAATTTGCTGAACATTTCCTTGACTGGTGTTTTAAAGGGCCCCTCTTCCCCCTGCGAGCAGCTGAGCTGCGATACATTCTCCAGAGGCTGGCTTTCCTGCAGGAAGGGGCGGTCAGCCCCTGCTTGGAAAGAGTCAAAGCTGTTGCTTTCTGGCAAAACAAGGACAGGCTCTTCCGAGCGAGGCAGCGCCAGGCGTTGTTTCCTTCTGGATCTGCCCATTTCCCACCTTTCCCGCCTCTTTATAACTAAGGTGTCAGAAACACTCTTAGAGGGTGGCTTCAATATGGTGAATTGTTTCTTCTCCTCTGTGGATGAGGCTGAGAGGAACACACCTGGCTCTTCCTTTACCGTCAGGGTTGTTGAGGCAAATGGTGATGGCCAGTCATCCAGCTGAGAGCCTTCTTCCTCCTTGATACAGATGCCCTCAGGGAGAGAAACTGATTCCTCACCAGGCTGGGAGCTGCTGTCCTTCAAGGAATGAGTTGGGGAAAATAAACCTTCATCACACTGACTCTCCTCCTTGACAGCAACCATAGGTAAAGAGGATGACTCTTCTGCAGAGAATGACATCTACAAAGAAACACAAGTTATAGGCAGCCACTGAGCAAGGATCTAAGCCACCCAAAATCCAACTGATAGTGGCAGGAAGAAAAGAAAGACTCGTCCTGCTGTCCTTAAGTAAGAGGAGGATTTTCAGAAAGCAGTAACTATAACAACAGATAGAGATTGATCTCTGTGTGAAGTAGGTACAAAGAAGCCTGCAGACCACATGGCAAGAATTTTAGCCAAGTGACTGGAGGTCATGCCCTTCAGAGCACTTCTGCTATCTGGAACTTCTAGGAGAGCTGAATATTTCTGGAGAAGTGTAACCCCTTGGATTCCTCATTACACTATCTATCTACATGTGAAATAACGAAACGAATGAGGACAGCTTTCCCAGAAACACAGGAAAAATAAAAGAAAAAAATTGAGGTTATCAAAAGAAAAAGAGCACAGGGGAAAGATAAATCATAGCAGGAGAGAACGCAAAGCAGCAGGCACACAAAGACAAATAGGATTATGGTTAGACAGGATGGAAGAAGTTAAAGTTTTACAGTGACTAAGCATCCAAGAGCAGTCAGTGAGATGCCAAGAGAAAGACCTGTCTAACAGCAGTTTTTCTTGAGCCCAGAATAACAGGGAGCTCCACAGAATTAGGGAACAGCAGGTCCTGAAAACCTCTGGGAAGAGCTACATACAAATGTAGTCTCTCTCTCATGAGAAGTTTCCTATGTTATCAGAGCTATCAACATCTGAATATTTTAAGGGCAGAACAAACACATTTCTCCCAAACAGTAGATAAAAATTGTCTGGACCAATCCACAGATTCCCCTGTTTTAGTGAAGTAACATCCTTATAGCAGGTCAACTAGCAGGTAATAGTCACCCTAGAGACAGAAAAGGACAGCAAGGCTTGTCACTGGCTAGTTCCTTAATATGAGCTTAGAGTTTCAGAGCACCTAGAAAAGTTGCACAAAGAGACCATATGAAAAATAAGGTCCATAGAAGGCAAAAGCTATAGAAGAGAGGAAGAAAACCCAACAACCAACCAACAACCTCCACACCCCAAAAAAACCCCCTTAGAAAACAAGAAACCAACCTTTGGAGCAATGCGCACACGCTTATTGCTCCAGAAAGTCTCTGAGCTGTTGAGGGATGCTCCTTGTGCCATGGACAGAGGAACCTTCATAGAAGGCTGCAAGACAAGAGGCTGACTCAAAGGAAACTGGATTGGAACCAGGTAGGAGTTGATGCGAGGAAGCAAAGGTTTCATCTTTCGGCCTGGAAGGGAAAAAAATGGACTTGCTAGCCTCTTGCCTTCCTCTAGTATCTCTTGAAAACTTAGCATCTAACAGAAAGTCCTTCTAAATACCCCAAAATCAACATCCCACCAGAGATAGGCTCACCTGCCTTCTCTGCTAATTTTAAGGATACAAATACCAAGCCAGACAACCTAACGAACAAGAAAAATAGTCCTTCATACAGATCCTGGTCCTCAAGTTGGGACAAACTTAGCTCTCACTCTATTTGAGTATCCAATACCCTCCATCTGCCCATTACAGCCTTTCTCAGACACAGCAATACTGCCTTCAGCTCCAAACCTGTCAGGAGGAAGCCTGAAAGCTGGCAAATCTGGATAACAATTTTCACTTTTATTCCCAAGGGAATCTGGGAGAGGGGCCCATATTTATGGGACTGATTCTCTTTGAAGAATAGGCTGACATAGACACTCACGTGCATTCTGGGGTTCAGTTTTGTTGCTGCAGTTGCTCCCCGTGTTCTTCTGGGGATCTGGAAGGTGTCGCTTCTGCTGCTGCAGTCATTGTGATATAAGAAAGAAGAGAAAGAGAAAAGGAAGAGATTTAAAGAGAAGAATCCATCTTTAATTCTGCTGCTTCATTCAGAACTGCAAATCCAGAAGCCTCTGCTGCACTAATACAGAGAGAGCAGCTGTTAGCACCCAGCCTTCATGCCAGCTTTATCTGTGCCACTTGCTGTTTGGCAGTCATGCCATCTCCAAGCCAGCTACCAACCAAAAGCTGTGTAGAAAAAAAAAAAAAAAAAGAGATGGCATGACAGTGCTGCTCTGGCTGCAGACTCTACTGCAGTGACCTGGTTTTAGTGTCCTCAGTTTCTGAGGAAAGGTAAACATGACAGTTTTATTGTACATTGGATCTCTATACAAACTATAGATCAGATAGGTGTTCAAGTGGAAGAGCAGAATCAACAGAGGAATTAGAAGTCTAAGCAGATGGAAAGAAGGCCACGACAAAAAAGTGTTTGACTGGGTGCTTAGAAATCTGTCCTTGCCAAAACCGCTGAATGCAAGACAGACAGCAAACAGATTCACCCTTTTGAAAGTCACAACGCAGATGGGTTCCAAAATGAAAAAGGAGCACAGAGACATCCTATTCTCTCTGGGTCTGAGCCCCAGAACAGACTGGGACTGCTGCTGTGGAGCAGAAACCTCTGTATGGGCTTGTTCTCTGAAGGCTGTTGGTGCTCATCGCAGCCTACTTCAGCAATGGACTTCCAGTTGCTCTACCAGCTGTAGAAAGAGTGTACCCTCTGAGGGCAATTAACCTTTGGCTCAACTCCTTTTCCCAAAAAGGGTGCCGTTGGAGCTGTATGACTAGGTGCAGCAGTGGCCCAGTCTCCCTCCCCAAGCCTGTTTTCCCTTCTTTCAGTGACTGGCAAAAAGAGAATGGAAGCCCAAGGCCCGAGCCAGAGGGTAAGTCTTACTGATTCAGAGTGCACAGGCGATGTTGGTGACCCCAAGTCCAGTGGCTGGTGGCAGCAAGGCATTGAGAGAGAAAAGAATAAGATGAAGTTATCAATCAAAGGGGGAAAACATGGGACATTTTAACCTTGCATGATCTGAGCAAACAGGAGTAAATCTGCCCACTCACTGCAGCAAACATAGATAAGTCTAAACACACCTGTACCAGACTCACAAGCTCTGTTTCTCCCGCAAAATGGTACTTCCTAGAATACGTAACTGGGATAGAGCAATTCCATCCTGTCTAATTAAACAGCACAGGAACTCTTGGTTGACTTCAGTAGAAAGCTTCTCACTAGCAATTTGAATCAGGCCCATGGAAACAGGTCGAACAAGCTCACTGTTACATTTGCACACCACCTGAAGAGTTAAACGCATCCCACAGAAGCTCCAGTTCATATGCACAGCCATGGCCCCTTTTATTTCAAACACAGAGCTGGTCTATTTGTCAAGAGAAGTGACTGAATTCAGCTTTTACAAAAAGGTTGATGTCAAAGCAGCTTAACTTTCCTGTTAAAATAAGGTGAATCTGGCTAGTGTGGCATTTAGGAACCGGATAGCCTGCCCCATTTTCTTTGCATGAGGCACTCACCTTAAATACCTGGTCCAATGTTAGGCAACGATTTGCATCAGGGTGAATAGTCCAGAAGGAGACTTTACCATTAGCAGATGTCTCACGGACAAACATATCATGAAGGGACAGGTTGTGCCGAATGGAGTTCTGGGGAGAAAAGAGTAGTTTTGTTAGTAGCACAGCAGGGTTTACCTCAGGCACGGCTGCCCTGGAAAGGGATTACATTCTGAAGTGTAGACAACAGGTACCTTCATATTCACTACATACACAATCTTAAGAGACTTCATCAGTCTCTTATTGTATTTACTCTTGAGATACCTGTTCTTACTTCAGCGATCAAGCATCCTATCATCTTGCCTGAGTGGAATGAGAAAAGGGGTACAAGAAGTGGAACGGGGAACCTCTGGAATGAGACGGTATTTGGGGTAGTGTGTTTAAATTAATTTCCATCTTGCACTTTTCATTTTTATCCAGGAGGCTTATGATAATACCACCTTGTGGCCCACAGCAACCTGAGGGCCTGCTTGTTACCTTCCAACCTGGCTTAGCCACATGTTTAAAATAAGGAAAATGATCCTCAATCCAGGTATAGATGTCCTTCAGAGTCATACGCTTCTTCTCAGTGCTGTTGATGGCAAACTGGATCATGGCCATGTAAGAGTAAGGAGGTCGTTCCGACACTGATTCCTGCCATGAGGAGGTGGTGGCAGTGGCAGCAGTAGTAGGAATAGCAGCAGCAGCAGAATCTTCTTCAGTCTGAGGGGCAGAAGGAATGATACATGAGTGCTCACAAAGCTGACAAGAAGGAACATCCCTGGATCCTCCAGGTTCTGCTTTCAAAACAGTAAAGGCCAAACTTGTGTTACTTAGAGATGGTGATGCCTAGTTCTTGCAAGTCTTCTCATCCACATGGATTACTTCCCTATCGAAAGTTTTAGCATATGCTCTGTTGTCTTCTCCCACTTACCTTGATTCTTTCCCACAAAGGTATCTGATTCTCTTTCTCTTTGTCTTGCTTCACAGAACAGGGACTTAGCCCATCAGATCTCATCTTCCCCAGCCACTGGATGTTAGTGAGACTACTGTCCAACACGGAGCTCGTTGTCTCGCCATTGCCTGTTGGAATAACAAGCCCATAACTCTGCTTACTCACAAGTAGCCCTCCTTCCCCCTCAGCTCAAGTGCCAAAAGGAAGGCACCAGTCACACTTCTAAAAGAGGTATCCCTGTTCTCAAGATGGGGACAAGACGGTATTGCAATGCTAACGTTTCTTGTGCAAGGAATTCAACCTTGAATTCCTGATCTCACGTGAAACCGCCCGATTTCTGAAAAGAGCTGCAGCCTTAAAAACCTTAAGCCAGACTATTGCTCTCAACCAAAACAGGGAAGTGCCGAGACAGCACTTCAAGAAATCAAGTCTTTTTAGTTAAAGGACAAATCTAGAAAACAGCAGCCATGGAAGGCAGTGGCAGACTCCAACTGAAAGATCCAAGTCAGAAGCTCAGATGTTACCAGGTTTTTGAACTGCAGCAATGAAAACTAACAAATTTTTTTTATCTCTGGCGAGGTTGGTTGTAACCATACAGCTAGTGCAGCTGTCTGTAGGTTCCTGTCAGACAGTACTATACGGGGGGATAAGATTTACTGCAGCCCAAAAGCTATATAGCTATTTTAAGTTGCAAATACAAATTTCATCTGAGCAGTGTTTCAAAGTAAAATCCATCCCACTTCTGACATTCCTTCAGCAGCTTCATGAGACAGCCAAGGGGTAAACAGACATTCCACTTAGTTATTAAAGGATGGGAATTATCTCTTTTCCAAAGCTCTAGGCATGTATATTTTGTCACTGACTAGGGTACTCTATGTCAGTCTTGAATTCAGCCATAACCCTTTTGCTAAATGAAGCTTAGTCTTTTGTTCTTCTAGACTTGATTTCCTCAAGACAGCTCTTCTTTTCTCCCAGCACTCAATTTTGCTTTGCTAAACACCTTTATGTGTTATTTCTTCCACCAAAAATACGTCCACTAAGATCCTTCAGATTTCACTACATATGCATAGCTATGTAGGTTATTAGAATCAAACCCATAGTTATTTTGTAGTTAATGAAAAAGCTTCATTACTGCATACTGACACCCAAGCACTACGTAGGTTATTAGAATCAAACCCATAGTTATTTCGTAGTTAATGAAAAAGCTTTCACTACCACATACTGACACTCAAGCACTACACTTATTGTCCCACTGCACATCTCTGTCTACATGTCAGGTTAAAAAAAAAAGGGTAAAGATTACATACTGTTGCTCTCCTGTTCCTGTCCAACACCAGAATCAATTCCTGAATGCCAGAGTGTCGTTCCTCCTGCAAGACCAGTTGTCTGTGCAACATTCTTCTCTCTTTCTTGACCATCTGCAGCCTTGGTTGATGCAAGGGGTTTCTTCTGTAATGGGAGATGCTGTGATGGCGTCGGACCTGCTGAACGGGTCGTGCCCCCACTGCTAATGAGAATGAACTTGTTGGGCCCATTGCTGCCACATTCTTTTCCTTTTGCTGTCAGTGCCTCTATGATGCTCTGGATATCAGCATTTGCAGGGATGGCCACCACTTGCGTGTTGGGCATTGTAGGATGGTCAACTATCTTTATTCCTGCTGGGAATTTCTGCAGGCCACATTCCGTTTTCCCTCCGTGTTGGCTGTTGTGTTGGTCCTCCTGGCTCTGCTCCTGCTTAGGAGCCTTCTCATCCTGACCACTGCTCTCATCTCTTGCTGAAGTACTGCTGGAGGTATTCTTCTGTGGGAGGGCCAGCTTCCGTCTTTTGAGAATTAAGGGCCTGCGAGGGCTGGTCCTCATTATTGATCTGTACAGTCACTCTCCATTGAAAGGGATAAGAACAAATCCTGCAAAACAAAAGATACAACGTAAGAGCACAGAGGGCAGGAACAGCTAGAAGCAGTGCAACAGGTCACCACAGGCCCCTCACAGAGCACACCCTCTCAGTAACTGCCACAAAGCTAGAAACAAGGAAGGGAAAATAAAAAAAAAAAAAAAAAGAAAGGATTTAATGAAGTTGATGATGATATTGGAAAATAGTACTGTATCTTCTTTATCAAAGGAGGGAAAAAAAAAAAAAAAAAAAAAAGAAAGGATTTAATGAAGTTGATGATGATATTGGAAAATAGTACTGTATCTTCTTTATCTACCCCTTGTGTAAGTGGGACAGGAGAGATATTTGCAGAGTAGATGATATGCAATATTGCATTGCAAGTCGGGAGCCACAGAGCACATAACAATGAGGAAAGTGTGTTTACTTTATAGAAAGGCAGACTAAGACTTAGCTGTAAAGTGACTTGACCAGCATCAGCCAGCAAGCTGGAGGGGAGAGAAACAAACTAGAACATAGAAATAGCACTCCCGATTCTTACATCTCATTGCTGTATCCAGCAGATCACTTTGACCCGAGAGAAAAGGGAATCTAACAGATGGTTTAAGAGCAGGGAAGCCAGCCTGTAAGAGCTCCATTCCCTACGGGTGCCAGCCACTTCCTAAGGCGGCCTCAGGCTGCCACTGCCGGTAGAGGCCCAGGAACAACCCCCTGTAAACAAGGCCCGGGGCCGCTAAGGGGGCAGAACGCTAAAGGGCTCCAGGCTGTTTTTCAACCCACCCCGACCCCAGCCCCACCGGCCCCACCTGTGAGTCCTCCTGTTCCCCCGGGGCCCTCTCCGCCCCGGACGGGGCCTAGACGTTTCCCTCTCCCAGCCGCTCTCCGGTGGCGCGGCTCTGGCGGGGCTGCAGGCCGCTGAACCTCCGGCCCCCGCGGGGAGGCTGAGCGCGGGGGGAGTGGGGCAGAAGCCGGGCGCAGGTCGCGGCTCACTCACCACCTTCCCGTGCGGGTAAATCGGGGGGGTGTTACGGGAGGGAAGCAGCAGCTCCACCGCTTCCGGCCTCGGCCGCCGCTCCCGGAGAGAGTCGCTTCCCGGTTTGAATTTGGCGCCCGGTGAGACGTTGGCATCACGTGCCGGCCCGGACCAATGAGATGGGGCGGAGGGCGGGGAGGGGCGGGGTTCCTCGGCCGGGCGTGAGGGGAGGGGCTGCGTCCGCGCTCACGGTACCGGTCCCGCCGTCCGGTCCGCGGGCCCCGAGCCGGGAACGGCGGCGGCCCCGGGAGCTCCCCTCAGCCCTGCCGTGCGGCCGGCGGCCCCGAGCGAAGAGCCGGGGTGAGCGGTGTGTGTGAGGGGGGACGGGGCGGCTGGCGGGAGGCCCCGAGGAGGCGGCGAGCGGCGGGTCAGGCCGCCGCCGTCCCGGCGCGTTGGGTAAGAGACCGCGGTTCTTCAGATAAGCGCTCCCTTTCCAAACTCCCCTGTCTGCGCCCACCGGGTTTTGAATGGAAATTTAAATGCATTTCAGCCAAAGCTCATTCGCTCGGTGAAAGGAAAAGCGTGCGAAGTATGTAGAATACGGGGGGGGGGAAATACCGAATTTGTTCCGTATTTAAAAATTCCTGAAATTACAAAGTATAGTAGCTAGGAAGGAGAAAGGGAAAGACTCCCGGCAACCTTGGTCCCAGGCTACACCTCAGCATTGCAAGCCAGTTTTCTGAATTAAATGGAAAAAATGAAACGAGTTTTTCTGACTTTCAATTACTAAACCATTCTTTGTCTGTGAAGAGACTATGTATTGAACTAAGGTGAAGAAATGGCTTCTTTAAGGTTTTTTTTTGATAGCTGACTTGACATTGCTGGTTGAGTACCCCCATCCCAATTCTCCTCTCCCCTTCCTCTCCCCTTCCTCTCCCCTTCCTCTCCCCTTCCTCTCCCCTTCCTCTCCCCTTCCTCTCCCCTTCCTCTCCCCTTCCTCTCCCCTTCCTCTCCCCTTCCTCTCCCCTTCCTCTCCCCTTCCTCTCCCCTTCCTCTCCCCTTCCTCTCCCCTTCCTCTCCCCTTCCTCTCCCCTTCCTCTCCCCTTCTCACAGTTTGAACTTGCCTATTTTAAATATAGTTGGTTCTGTATTTCAGCATTTTAGTCAGGCCTTACCGCAGATGGATATCTTTCAAATTACTTCTAAAATGCTTTTATGAAGAAAAACACCAACGTGAGTTGCTCCGCATTGTGCTTCTAAAATACGTATTTTTGTAAGAAACTAATTTTTCCAGTAATATTGAGTCTTGCCCAAAGGCCAGCTCCGAACTCCTCTTGCAGCAGAGACACTTGTTTTGTTTGTGTCTCTCTTCCCCAATGTATTTGGCTATCAGCTTTCATGAAGCTTCGGAGTGTTTCTCTATCCTGCTGTGCATTTCTAAATCCACCTGAAATTCAACAGAAAGTTCCAAAACTACTGCTAGGAAAGCCTGCACAGAGATGGGTACACTGTCCTATTGTATAAATGTTTTATTTTAGTTAAGACCTAGATCTGAGTTTTCCAAACAAGTTTTTCTTCAAGTCCAATTTCCTTGCCTTCTACAGATTTGAGAGCACTTTAGCATCTCCTCGGGGTGCGTTCCTCTTTCTCCACTCGGCTCTAGCGAGCATCATGAGGCTTCCGAGAGGTTTTACCATACCTTTTGATGCCTCCCAAGAAGAAGAAACCTACCCACAAGGCGAGGAAGGCAGAGCTGGTGTTCCTTGAAAAGCCTCAGGAGGGCCCCGTCCGTTACTGTGAAACTCTGCTACCACCGGTTGAGAATCCAAGACGTGTTCCTACAAAACCTGTGGACCAGAACACCTCTGCTGCCTGGGTTGGTATGGATTATCCTTCCCCTTGCATCCCACAGCAACCTTTTGGGAGTTTCTCCCCCGTGTCTCGACAGAAAGCTGTCGGTCCTGGATACTGAAAATGAGTAGCGCAGACTTGAATGCATGAGAGCTGCTCAAAGCATAAATAATGCTTCTTGAGTTGCTTGACGTACAAACTGCAACCACGGAGGTCTTGGTTATTTGAAGGCATAAAATTGTGCAGTGTGTACTGATTAATAATGATGACTTCTCTTCTGAAAAACTAGGCCTCATCAGGAAAACACTGTTTTCTATTGCAACTGAACACCCTGCACAAAATAAACCTTAGGGAGAATTTTCTTATTGGCTTGCTGCTTGAAATAGCTGCTGAAGTCTAAATGTCACATGTTAAAGTACTAAGTGTTTTATTTAAATCTGACACTGCTAAATTTAAGGAACTTAGGCTTTCACTTCAGGATTTTTTGTTCTAACCTGCCCTCTTTTCCATTCTGTGTGTTTTGAAGTTTCTCTCCGTGTCACTTTTCTGATGGGCTCCTTTTGTGGTCTGAAAAACAATATTCCAGGGACTGTTTGCAGTGTCCTAAGATAATCCTTATATCACCTAATGTAAAGATTTATATTTTTTTTAAGCAAACAGGTGCTGCAAAGACAGGCTGTTCCTATACAACAATAGTCATCACCTAGGGGAGCACTGTTTAAGTTAAGTGTTATTGCTGCTTGATGCTCTGCTCTTCACAGAGCACTTTCAGGAAGGGTGATTTCAAACCTGCATGAAACTTTCCTTTGTTCCTGGTGACCTGGAGTTATTTTTGTGATGCCTTAACCTTGAAGCAGAACATGTCAAATTTTTGACACTTTTTTTTTTTTTTTTAATATGCTTAAGGCAGTTGGGTCTATGGCTTCTGAAACACTAAGTAAAATCACAGCTGTGAATAAGCGTTCTTTTTGTTTGGAAGAGGTGGAAATATGCACACTGGTGGTTAGCTCTTTGATTCCAAACATACAATGATTCTAAAATTTGTTTGAAGCTATCAGCACAGAAACTGTTAGATACTTCTCCATTTGAAAAGCCTGGTAGGTTTGTAACTTCTTGAAGCATTCTCTGCAGAGCTTCTGTCAACTTGTTTAGTGTCAACTGATTTTTCTCCTCCTCTCTTCTTGATGTTATCTAAGTTTTTCATACCTTCTTGGCTGCTAGGCTCCCACATGGGTAAAGCCCATCCTACATGTTCACTGAAGTCAGGAAACTATATCCTCAATTAATGGTTCACCCATGTTCTTTTAACTATATGCCAGGATACAACTATCAGGGAATCATTTCTCTCTTTTCCTGCACAAAGGCTTTGCATTCAAACAGTTCAGTTGTACCACAGACAATCACTATGCGTAATTAAATTGCACTCAGTTTTTTGAGGGACTACGTAGTAACTTAGGAATGCTGACAGGTATCTGTAGTTATTGTAGCTAGAACCCAATTTGGTGTGCTCTAGGGAAAAGTAAATTGCAAGAAACAGAACACGGCTCTCTTTGTTGATACCCAGGAAGGTAAAGAATACCATAATACAGAGATTTCAAGGTTTGGAGTAAAAGTACAGAATCTCTCAAAGAAATAGATTGTTGGGCTTTGAGCATCTTCTATGGAAAGCCAATTTTAGAAGTAGCTTTTGGGTGATCTGTTATTCCAGAATACAGAGATTAACTATGTTTTGAACTAAAGATGTTTTGGGAAAATATTCTGACAGCCTTGTTAAAATAAGCTAAGGTGATGAAGCTAAGTGTGCATCCTTTAAATCACTTTCTGTTGCTCTCAGATCAACCTCTACCTGTCCAGGGAGACCTGAGAATGTAGTTCATTGAATCTATTCAGAGTTATAAGACAAAGAGAGAAAAAGGATCCAGCTCTGAACTGTTTCAACTCTGCAGAGCTTACAGGACTAGACACCAGTTGGACTTTTCTTTAAACCCCAAATCTTGAGTGCTTTGTAAGTTGCCAGAGAATAGCTGAATAGTGATGTTGAAGTTCAGAGGTATCTCCTGCTTAGCATCTTGGTTAGTGACTCGTTTGCTTTGTTGCAGACCAGATTACCCACTTAACGAACACGCTGAAGAAATATGGGATAGGTGAGGGAGTAGAATCAAGTTGGCATTCCTTTTATCTGGAGAAAATTGTGTTTTGTTTTCTTTTTATCACTGTCTTTCCCTTCAGGTGTGCCCGCAATTTGAAACAACTGAGTCAGTGGCGCTGAAAGCTTGCCAGAGGAAACATTGTGGTCCTCACAAACCCCAAAACCAGGATGCCAAGCACAGTTCACTTCACGCAGGAGGACCTTGTCGAAGAGCTGTAGCCTCCAAATATCCTCCTTTAATTTTTGGGAATCCAGAAGGACATGCAGTCCACCCCTCAGATAGTACGAATCGCTCAGGGAAGAGCACACAGCCCTCCTGCAGCCGGCCCAAGAAAGGGACAGCAGCAAAACCCTCCATCCAGGTGAACAGTCCAGAGAGCTGTAGAGAAATGCCTTTGTTACCTGCTCCCCAGCCTGTGGAGCCAGAAGTCTTCAGTCCAGCAGATGCAGACGCTCCACAGATGCCTTCTGTAAGGGACTGGAGGTGCAACAGCACTCCTCCATGCAGAGGCAGCCACGCTTGGCATCCACAGAAAGAGCTGGCCCTCAGTGTGGATCCCTGTGGGAGGGGAGAGTCGGCGGCAGTGCTGGTTACAGATACTCCTGAGCACGAATACGGCGTGAAGGTTACTTGGCGGCGGCGGCCTCACCTCATGAGGTACCTGCAGCGGAGGGGGAAGCTGAGTGCTGCCGACATCTTGGTGAAGGTAAACCCTGAGCTCCCGGGGGAGACGTGACAGCCTCTGACCTGGGGCGGAAGGGGAGCAGCGATGTTGTTACGTGCAAAGACATGTCCAAACAGACAATGTTAACTTTCCAGGATGAAGAGGATAGGTAATTTAAGCCCAGCCCTGTGCTACAGCTGGATGATCTGCCTGAGAAACGCCGCCAAGGCGGGGG